CTTCATTTTCTTCTAAACTGAACAGTTTTCAAGTGCTTTTCATTACCTTTCACTCCGTGTTTTTTTTAAATTAAAAGTGGCAATATACAAAATAATTATTGACCATGATGTGTATCTTTTGTCTGTGTAGCAGTGGTTGTTCATGCAAAATACACATCATACTCAATAGATTGGCAATCCCTTTGTAATCCAAAGGAATGACCAGAAGGTTGCCTTTGTTTTTTACTCGATGAAGCCCGTCTCTTTCCCAGCAAGATGTAATGATTACTTGCAATGCACAGACATTCATCTGCATTGTCATGACCGATTTTCTCATCATTCTTCTTCTTCGTTGATATTTGAAAATTCGAGTGCTGTTTGCTTTCAGTTCAGTTCTACTCACATCACTGGCACTATGTATTTTGTTGTGTTTCCTAAGTTTATGCATGGATTCAGTCTAGCAGTAGTAGTGTAGCTCAACGTTGGCTTTGGATACTCGGAAACGGAATATTTCTCGTTTCGATTTCCGCCCAAAACTTTTCTTTTTTTTTTTCGTGGCATAGTTTTTTTTTTTGCTTACTACTCGTTTCCAGTTGTTATGATCAATGATTAGTCTGAGCTTGTTCATTCGTTCAGTAATCTCCCGTTTCCCTTCACAATCATCCAGCTGTTTAAATATTTGTGAAGTCGGGTTTTTTTCTTTTTCGTACGTCGCTTGTGTTTCCTTTTGTGCTATATTCGTGTGGTGTGTTTCGTGAATGGTTTCCGAATAGTAAAGAATTTTCTTTGTTTTCGGTGGTTTGTTGCACGGCATTTAACTTTGGTGTTATCATTACTGCTTGAAACTGGTGTTTGTGTGATTAGTGACTGTTTGTGTAGTAGTTGTAGTAATAGTTACTAGTATATTTAAATATTCAAGTCAAAATTTGACTGTATCGTGGTCGTGGTTGAGTAGTATCATGTTGGATATTATTTGAAAGGCTGTAGGACAGGATGTAATCCGAAATCACACTGAACCAACAGTTGTCAGCGTTCGAAGCGTGTTTCGGGTGTAGGAGGAACCACTTGAGCCGGCCAGCCGTAGGGAAGGGAGCGGACATGTAAAGTTGGGATTGTCATGAATTTTTGGTCTCGAATGGTTTTGGGTATAGCGGGTGTAGGGAGGTGCATGAGCTACACCCTGCCCTGATGGGTGACCGGTAAGGATTACAATTGTTGGAGCAGTCTACGGGCTGCGATTACCATTTATTGGGGTTCTATTACTCTCTTCCTTTCTGAGAGAGGGACGATGTGGGTAACATTTATAGTGCTTTTTGAGTAGCAACTTTTCAGGATGTAGAAGTGTTTGGGTGTGCCCTGTCCTAGGCATTGGCCCACTTTCCTATCCAGTTATGAGGTGATTTATTGTTTCGTTATATCATCATGCAATGACAGTGTATGTGAGGATCGGGAGGAAGGGGGAGGTGGGTAAAGTGACTGGTCAAAAGAGGTTTTGGAACAGCCTACCTACCTATATTTTGTTTTTGCATGGTAAATGTAGGGATTGGGAGGGATGGTGGGGATTGGGCTAGAGGGATTTTGAAGCATCTACGGGCCCTTCCAATCATTGCATCCGCCCTCTTGCGTTCTCCAACCAAACCTGAGCTTTTCGCTGCACAATAGCCCTTGTCCAGACGCGTCAATTCCCTTTCGTGCCCCGATATCGGAAAAAGCGTGCGAAATGTGAGAAGGACCACCCAATTGTCGCGGATCAGTCGGTCGTCGATAGAAAGTCGATTTTTGTGCCACCATTACTCCTACCGTACTATTACTATTTGTAGTGAAACTCCAGTCAGTGAAAATTGAGAATAAGTGATGTTTTTTATCCGCCTCGCCTTCGTGAAATGCCCACTTCAGTTTACTCGAGGGCGGGTTGAGTACCCCTCCTCCGAGTTGTGTGGATATTGGTAAAGGTCGGCGAAATTACCTGAACAATATTGTTCACCACGTGGACTTTCGTACGTTTCTCAGGGTCGCAGTAAAGAGTACATCGTCACTCACTTCGATCGTCTATACTCGATTCCAATTGCTCGTTTCGAGAATCGTCCGCTTGGGACGATTGACCGATTGCCTACCTGTTTGCCGACTTTCTCAACGATTCCCATATTGACTGAGCTTTCTTAAACCAAAGCATACTTTTCTTGACTAGCCAGTGATTTACTGTCAGTCATATCTCGTCCATTTGTGGGTTACGTGTAACACGGCTCGTTCTTATTCTTTTCCTGTGTGAATCGTATATTTGTACAACGACAATGGGCCTGTTTATGAGTACTGGCCGTATGACAAGAATCGAAGGCAATCACCCATTCCCTTATCGACTCTGTCCTGTCTTTGTACTTCTTGGTAGATGGACCTTGCCAAATAGTCGTCCCACAGAAGTCTGGGTGGCTTTGTTGGCACCCACCTACATTAATTGTTCCTCTACATGAGGACTGATTCAATACTCCCTATCCAGAACCCATATGAGTAAACGAATGTAGTTTACCCCACGTCCTTCCCTTACGCCATGAATAGAGGAAACTGGTGGGTCCTATGGTCTACAGTTGTGCACTTATGACGGGGATTTGAGTGATGAAAGTCAGGGGGAAAGACGACTCTCTTCCTGAAAAAGTCAGCATAATCCTCTTCGAAGAGCCTTCGCTTCATGGTAGTCCCCCTTCTCTTATCTGCTTGGGAGGAATTCCTTTTTGGAAGAGAGCTATCTTTTGGATAAGTTCTACACTAGAAACCTAACATTTTCTTATAGAGCAGAAAATTCCAGCAGGATAAGCCACAACTTCAGAACCTTCCTTTAAAGTAAAATCGTTTTTGCTTCTCTCAAAAATAGTTTTATGAAGTGGCCAACTTGACCTAATCTCAGTCACAACTCCTCACTCAGCGGATGTCGATCGGCGAAAAGGGGTCAATTTTTTGACTCGACCTGCTGCTGGTTCCCTTTCGCCCGAGTCCCATTTATTTCCCCAGCATACCCATGCTGTCCTCTTGGCTCTGGTGAAAGAAAACATTTGCCCTTTCGTCTGACTTTACATTTTCTCACTGCATGGGAGAAGCTGAACGAAGTTATATGCATTCCTGTGGAGTATGTCTCCAAACATCATTGCACTGCCATATAAATATGTTCTGGTATTGTGCCAAACCAGGTACGAGTTTGGGATTTTTATTCCACTTATTGAAAAGGAAAAATTATTTGTTTTAATTATATTTGTTCATGCTCATGTATCATTCAACGAATTCGCCGAATTGGCTCAGTGATTGATGAATATTCATTTCCATGGAGCATGCCGCAAAATAAGCACTCGACCTGGCACTTTTTTTATACTCGCTACACCGCTTTTTTTCCATGGGTGCATTTTTTTGGTGATTCGGTATACATGAACGTTTGTTAGCAACATAGTTTCCAACTTTTTACTCAGAACAAGTTGTGCCTTTTTTTTTACTCAATTTTCCAACTTCATTTATAATCGAGAAGGAACTAGTTAAGCTGGGAAATAGATGGGGACGGCAGTTTAAGAAAGAAATGGGAGAATTTGCAATGAATCTCATCTTTCACGACATTCCATGCCTAGTATTTAGTCTGAAGTGCTGGCTCTGTTAGAAATCAAGGGAGATTTATCATTCATTCCCAGCTATTCATCCAAAATGAGCCATGGTAAATGTCAGTAATGCACCCTTGGGAAAATCTGAATGATCTCTAATGAAAAAATCCGCTTGGGAATCAACAATTCAACTGAATTTGCTCAGATCATTCAAGCCTTCAGTCGTCTCAAAATCAAGCAGACGTTGACGGGCCCTCTAATGATGCTGGGCTCGGCTATTGTATGAATTTTTCCTCACAAAACCCTAAGCCATAGGAGAAATGCTCTTTCAAGTACAGTCGCGATTTCGGATGGAAGTCGGTTGCGTGGCGTATCGCGAAAGGGAAATTGCCTGATTGATGATTTTCATTATTCCCACGGCAAATTTAAGTTATCTTCCGTGTTCCTATTTTTACCTTTGCAACTTTCTGATATTGAAGTCTATTTACGACTATGGATTGTTTATTATAGTTTCGTAGTGCTTGGCTGCATTATCTCATCGGTGGCACGGAACTTATAAATTTTTTAATCATTAACTTGTTCAGTCTCTTATGTATCTGATTTGGCTTGCTTTACAAGGTCTTCTGTTTAGAAAAATTGAGTCAACTCTCCAAAATAGTTCAATCGTTCCACCGGTATGCGCCACGCATTCACCCTGTATTCGGGATCGTAGAAGCTCCTAAATGCGTATTCAGTAGACACCATGACAACCGGGGGTTAGTCAACCATTGAGTCCACTTCTTCTGTTCCCTAACAAGCTGGTGCTGACGAACTGTGTCTGGTGGAATTAGAGAGGCTCATCCAAGTTGGGTAGTTTGGTTTGGCTTGAACCCTGGATCGTGTGTGTGACAACAGCAGCAATCCTCTCTTTTTCAGTCTTGTCCAGCCTATTTTTTTTTCTGATTTGCTCTTTTCTGAATTGCTCTTTTGAAATATTTTTCGGAGATCAGCAAATCTTTGTCAATAGCTTTATAATCTTTTGATTGTTTGTGAGTATTCCTAATTTTTGAACCGGTTCTCTCATCAGTAACTTGTTTCTGTCGACTGTGTTACTTGTTAACGACCCAGTTTTTCCCCATAAGATTGGCTAATTCAAAGTCTGAAATTCGAAGAATGTTTCTCCGTCCACCTACGCTACCTCTTCCTCCTCCTTCTCGTTCTTGGTCATTCATGCTCGAGATATCTCCACAGTCGTGTGCGACCTCAGCCCAGTTGTGAGGGAACTGCTTTTCGGCAACACCTGTTCGTCATTTTCCTGTCTTCTGACAATTGATAAATGCTATGCCGAGAAACGGATGTGTCCCATTCGCTTCGCCTTACTGATTGCCTCTCGTTGTTCGCTGTTCGCCTACAATTTTCGCTGTTTTCAATGAGCTACTTTGTCAATTTTTTCCAGGTCGTTGCTCTCATATGTCATCTGAGCCACGAACCACGCACGATGATGCCACACCAGGACCGTCTACAATAAAGTGATTTGCTTTTTTATCAATTATACTTCATTTTCCCCATTCAACTGATTCATTCGCATGTGGAAGCCTAATGTGGCTGGGTAAGCATCGGATAAAAGGCACCTTCGTTAGTCGTGTCATAGGGGTGGGGCTATCAAATGATGCCGTCATGGAAACGCAGACTCTTCCAGCGATGGTCTCTGAAGATTTTTCGATTTTTTTCAATTTTTATATATAGACGGTATATTTCCCTCGATAGGGAATTTCTATAATTTTCATGGTTTAATTATGCGCCTGTGAAAGAGATACCGAGCGATAGAATTCATGGGGAGGGGAGAGAGAGACGAATCTCCTCTCAAAGAAAAGACCGTAATTCTTCTAAGATAGTCTTAAATTCAGACCAGCGATCCCTTGGGATACTGCTCTGTAATAGTTGGGTTCACTGATTCGAAGGATTTTGCCTCAAGAAAATCAATTTTGATTGAAAAAATCCGAAGGAGAAGGGAAAAAGAGCTCTATGTTGAAGGAAAAAGGCTTTGGCTTTTCATATAATGCGGACCTACAGAAGAATGCGTTCATAGAAGCTCTTTGTAAAATCCCTTTCATGGAGGAAAATTCGCTATGCCCTGGGAACTGCTTACGAAGACGCTTTAAGCTATTAATAACTAGTAATTCAAGAGGCTTTTTCAGGACTGAAAATCAAGAGCCAATTAAAGGAATTCTAAAACGGCCATCAATAAGGCAGAATGAGGCGAAAGATCAGGTACTTACTGGTAATGATGTTAGGTCAAAATTTGAGAGAAGGGTGTTCATTGTAGGTTGTGCCGACGTTTACTCATCGACCATCGCCTGATCGATTTCCGGAGAAACCAGGAACCCGTATACCGAAATTATCCGTCACATGGTGGGAGAAGAACGCCGGTAAGCATTTTTCCCCTTAGGAGTTATATTTGTATTTCTAATGCAATTTTTTAGCGATACTTCACTTGTAAATCTGGTTCTGAACCATTTCATTTTTTATGGTAAAATACGGTTATTTTGCTGTAAATTCCCAATTATTTTGTAATTTACTATATCTTGGCTTGCTGCTGTTTTATTCTTGCGCCCAGATCGATCTCTAGGTGATTTCTTGCTGAAGCTTGTTAAAACTCTGCTTTGAATTTAAAGCCTTAAGTACTAGTAGGAATAGAGAATCGAGTTGCAAGCACTACTTCAAAATGACGATGTTTCGGTAACAGTCGAGCTACCTGAACGTTTAAGGCTATCTTGGCATCATTTCGTCTCCCGATTTTCGTTTTCCGACTTCTGTGTGTTGTACGTGTCCTAAGGATATTTCCGTGTTCTGGGAACTGTAGCTGATCGACTCATCCACGTTTGCTTCAACATCCTTTCCTTTAAATGCCACCTACTTCAGCAGCACTAAGGTTAACCTACATTGCTTTTTCCCGAACGAGTTTTTAGAACCTGGGTTGGATCCAACCGACTTCCTTGTAGACTAGCTTACCTGGGGACTTCAGTACTAGTAATCTCATCTGTAGTTAGCTGTTCACGTCTGCTGATGTGCTCGTTCAACCGGCGCCATTTTTTGCTGTATTCATAGTCGTTTCATGCGTTAATGAGAACTATGAAGCAGCTGCGTAGGAACAAATGGGAAATTCGATCGATAGATGACGAAAAATAACTTACTGAATTCTCTGTAACATTAATTACATTTGACAAAGGGTCGTCATTACGTCAAACTCGGTAGAACTGTTGTAAAATATTCAGAGTCCGCAGATTCAAAACTTGAGTGTAGCAGGGACGTTTGGAGACTTCCCCATAGGTGACTTCCCCATCAGCAGTTACTTGATTTTCGATCCCACATTTCCAGCATCTCCTAATGGTCTGAACCTGGGAAGGTTCACCAAGAAGAAGGCTACGCGATGGTCTAGGCCGATTATGATTCCGAATGAGAAGTAATTTATGTATAAATAAAAATAACGAAATATAAAGTAGTGTTAAATTAGACTTTTGAGTGTAGTGAACTTCATAAGTACAGGACTATACTGGAATCAGAGTCATGTAAGTTCGACCGTTGAGATAGGGGAAGAGATGATACTGGAGACTTGAATGATCGAGTAGGTCTCGATCTCTATACCGGGAGATAACAGCGCCGCTCGCCCCTGCTCTACCTCTGCTACGGAAGCGCTTATATATGTACGTACGATGTCTGGTTCTGAGCTTTACATTTGTGTATTCGAATTTGGCCATGTTCATGTTCTAGTTTTTTGTATTTGTGAATTCTCAGTACATTTGTTATTTCAGTGGCGATATTCGGCGATACAAGTGATGAAAATAATACTGATTCAGAGCAGTTATTTAAAGATCTCGGCAATGGAGCAAGTAACGAAACTGCTGAAGAAAGGTAAGACCTTCGTTAATTCAATTACTCTATTCAGTTGTTTGAATATTTACTTTTATTTCCTCATTTCATACTATTAACAGACTAAATAACTTACAGCTCTCGGAGCGAGTGATCTGTTCACATTAACCGCAGAATTTTTAGTGAATTAATAATTTCCCTTCCCCAAATTTAATTTGGACGGTGGCGTCTTTTCGCTGAGGCATTTTATTTAGGCAAACAGCAATACTTGACTCCGAAGAAGATTCTGAAGAAGTCGTTATGGAATCGCAAGATCTTTACGGTAAGTGCGGTTGGGCTTTTACACCCTGAAGCGTATAGCGCAGAGGGGTAGAGCGCTGCTGCAGCGTGCATGTAGTCGGGAAATTGGTAGTCCCATCACTTCTGTGGTTCCATTCATGCTAGTAAATGACAGTTTACATTGCATATTTTTGGGAATATTAGTTAGAGCTAAAAAATCAGCAGATTATCTCATCGATAATGTAGCAAATTTTTACTTAAAGCATATCCAGTAGATATGTGTGCAACCCTTATGAATTGTCGTTTGACGCTGTTAGTTGGGTACCATATAATGATTCTTATATAATTCCAGATGAAAATGACGAGCATGAACATCGTGACGATGCAATGAGTGTAGCCAGTTCAACAGGTTCAGCTTCTTCCAGTGTAGTGGGACGATGGTGGACGGGAAAAGATACCAGGTAAAGCTTCGGTCATGATCATCAATTAAATATCTTTGAACAATTTTTATGACTTTTAGATTTTTTGAATTAGTTTTCTATTTGAACCTTTAAATGAGATTCTGCATTTCAGAAAAATTTAAGACGACTTGACATACGATTTCTATAATGATTTTTCAAAAATAATTTTCTTCCATCTAATTAGACAACTAGGGTAAAACGCATATGAAAAGGCAAAATTAGACGTGAATTGGATGAGTCAAAGTCCCAAAAGAACGTCTGGAACGTGTCTGATTGGTGCGCTGCGCGTAAACACCAATCATAGGCTTGCTGTACTGGGTTGCCGACCTGGAGACGTTGCGCGCGTCCGTCGAAAGTAGGTCACCCCGCACACTCCGCGCGCGGCCCACCCCAACTGAGGTCTCGACATGACATTACAGTACCACCAAGTGTCAGTGGAGCGAATTGTTTGCATTTGTCCGTGTGATCTTCCCTTTGGCTGACTGCTGTGGACCAAGCGCAAATCGTATGCCCCACAGACAACTGCGACGTTTGTCAAAGATTGCGGGCTGACGCGTCGCATGCGAAGGTTGCGCCGTGACCTAGATTTGACGGACGCGCGCAACGAAGCGCACCCCGCCTATCTTGAGTGAATGTTCTGAAGAAACTTTGTTAATATACATTTAAGAAAGGTATCACTGCAGAGTAAGAATAAAATTTTTATTGTGCACAATCTGTTTGCGACTAGGCGGGTGGAATAACTGCCTCGCTCGGCCATTTCTATCGAAAAGCGTAGATCCGTTTTCAGGTATGTCCCACATTGCCAGAAACGTGGTTGCAATCACAATCATGGTGAATTAGGGGAATATCTCACCCCCACACAACGGCGGAATAAGGCAGGCCTTCCCATTCGTACTTTTTTTTCAAAATTAGTTCGAAAAGTCAGTAGACCAGTTGACCAGTGAAAGTTTCCCACGTCTTTCAGGAAATCAGTGAATTGAAGAATGAGTTACGAGCCGCTATAAAGGAGCGAGATGAAAAAGAACGGCATTTGGAAGAACTACGAGAGCGAATAAAAGAGGTGAATGAGCCCCTGAGCGCAAAGCCACCTTTGCAATTGTCCTGTTACGAGTGTGACTAGGTCTTGCTCCCTTTGGGGGACTTCAAACAGGTCCCTCAATCTTCGTACTTTTTACAGGTTGAAGTGCTCAACGTAAAACAGGCCTCGTTGTCCGACAGTCATCGTCTGATGTTGCGAGAACGAGAAACGGCCGAAGCGTATGAACGCGAGAAAAAGCAAATGGAACGAAGGCATGCTGTCCGTGTGAATCAGTTAGTACAGGAAACGTTGACAGCCAGGTGAGTGTCCATTGCATTCGTTCGTACTAGTACCGTGCAAAGAAGTAATTTTGTATCATGTGGTCGCCAATACTGCATCTTATCACTCACTGATGTTCTTTAATTGATTGATTATTGATATCTACGCTATTGCTAGTACTTTTCATTCACATCCATTTGATCTCCCGTTTCGACTTTCCAGAATGAACATAGTGGCGCGATCGATATGTATTCAAATCGTATCTGCTTAGCTTTTTCTTTGCCTTTTTCGAGAGCATACGCGGTTCGAAAATTGTGTATTTGAAACCTCATGGGCTCAGTCAGTGGGATTAGGAACTGAGCAGTACCCGACTTATTCTCATCGGTACCTTCTAGTTTCAAAAAACCCCCTTCCTTACTAAATTAAATTGAAAGTGGTTCAACGTTACGTAAGTCCTACTATTCTGTTAGGCACGCCTTCCACAGTTTTCCGGTAGTTCGGGCGGGTTTTTTACCTTTCTAGTGGAGTGTCTTCTCGTTTGCTCAAGTTCCACCTCTTCTAAGTTATAATTGAAAAAATCGAGTTTTTTTCTTGTTGATTCTCCACATTTCTTTCATGCTTCTTCTATTCACTATATGGTCCGTTATAAATGACACATCGCTGTCCCTGGCTGTCACTTCGGTGGCAAATACTGCCGATGACATTGGCGGTAGCCTTTTTTTTGTGGGTAATTTCATAGGGCCTTTTAGGGTCCAACAGCGATTCTTGATGAATCCAACTGTTGATTCCTCTGGGTTTGAATTGATAGAAATGATCGTTTCCAGGGCATTCGGTATTATTAGACATTGCAGTGAAAGGAGTCCTGGTGATGCATAATCGTGATGGTGATCCTTGGAGAACTAGTTTTGTCGTGTGCAGGTGTCCAACTGTTGTCGAGCGTTAACTGACCAAAGGTCTGAAATAATGCTATCTCAATAGAGCAAGGCGATTGGCAAAATGTTCTCTTGTGGTAGTAAACGGTAGGTTGAGAGATTCCGCTTAGAAATAAGGTCTAAGATGGCCTACAGCGTGAGCATTCACTCCGTATATTTCTTTGTAATTCCGGGGAAGTTCAATGGATCTGTAGAAGAACGACTTCTTCAGTTTTTCAGTATTCTTTTGGAATTTCCTTGAGGAGATCTAAATAGTAACGCTTGTAAAGCCTTGGTGGACTGTCTATACTGGACTTCCATACAGCTGCGAAGAAAAGGATATGTTGGAGTGCATGGCGTGTCATGGGAGAATCGGTGTTCAGTGGACTCTCAGGCCGCTGAATTAGATTGAAGGAGTGGCCCAGGAATCAGTCTAGTTTATTTGTTAACTTGCACATGTGGATTAGTTTTTCAGAACCAACTAGCAAACAGTGATTTGTTATTGTAACCCTGACATATGACACATGTTGTGAAAGATTGCGGAATAAAACGGAAAACTTGTTCGGTTTCCACTGAAACACCGCCATTCAGTAGAAAAAATCCCATATGGTCCTTGGCTTCATTGGCTTCTGGTTCATTCCAGAGCAAGCTTTGCGATCTATGTGACCGCATTCCCGCACCCAAATACACCTCGCAGTTATTCCTACTTTCCTTCCTTTTCACTCACCCAACTTGTCTGTCCATCATTCGTTTTCTCAACTCTTCATGTCGTTTTCTTCTTTTTGTATTGACAGCTTCGATGTAAGTAAATGAAGCAGTTGCTTCGTTACAATCAGTAATAGTGCTTAGTGAATTTCTTAGGGACCAAGATCCTATTGGAAACGAAAAATGTAGTGGTTCTACTGAAAGGAGGGTGGTCCAGGGGACTCCATGCGACGACACAGCCATAGCTACGAGTGTTGGTTCAGTGTCGTCCTTTGTCGCTCATCGCTGCAGTTCATGCTTTTTCGCGAATTGTCGCTTATTGGTGCTCTCTATCGCAATTCCGCAAACTTGCACAACTCCCCTTTTGGTAATTATTGCTTATACATATCCTCCACTTACGGAGCCCAAAGTCGTAAGTGAAAGGTTAGATGGCTCAGCTTGGCTGGCCCAATCGCCTCTTCCCTGGGAATTCTCATTCCTGTTGTACACTGAGTCCTAATGCAGTGAAAATAAGAGTAACTTACAAGTAATCGCCACGAATGAGCATAGTTGATGATGGCTTTCCGAAAATACGCGTTGGACATTTTAAAGGCTGAAGTTCGATGGGAACCGTGATAAATGCCGATCATTTGATTACTTAGGTGTACTTGTTAGTTTAAACTGTTATAAATGTAAATGTTATAAATGCTTATATAAAACAGTACTTTTTGTGGTTTGGTTAAGGGATGAAATCGTTCGATTGACAGCCAGAATCAAAGAACTCGAGAAGGCTACCAACATACAGCGTGTTGATTCAGAAACGATGACCGATGCAGTGCAGGTATGATAAACATCGCTAGACATTCGTTGTTTACACTTGTTACAGAAAAAGTTTGCCCCTACTTTCTGAATTCCCAGATAATAAAAATTCACGGCTTCTCTGCACACATTTGTATATTTACTGATAAAATCCAGATAAAAAAGAGTTTAATAGTGTGACAATCGAATAGATCGACGCCATTCTTGAGCCGGGAACCTATCAGGAATTTCAATATACTACTAGCTTTTTCAGTATGTTCCACCAGTTTCCCAAAGTCCAACGACTCTGGATCCTGTGGATCCCAATCAAAAAACAGGTTCTTCTAATTCAGCTGGCAATTTGTTATTCTTAGTATATAAGAATTTCTTGAGAATCTGATCTGTTGCAGTGCAATCACCCCCTCGAGCGGTCTCCCCTACGACGCCGTTATCTCCAGTACACAGTTTACCTGACCAGGTACGAGCTGATGGGGGCAGGTACAAGTGGGGGAACACGGATTTTTCCTTAAATTGATTCTGTGAAGCGGCAGTATATTTCTGCTCATTACTGTTAAGTACAGTTGAAAGGAATTTTAGATTAGATAAAGGATCAGATAGGTGAGCATTTCTTGAGTGGTAGTAATGACCCAAAGTCTCTCCGCTCGTTTATTTGTATACTTCTGTATACTCGAGTAAAACCATGTTGTTTCTTCTCTAAATTCATTGTTTTTACTTACTAACATTACCGTACTCAGATGACAATGTCTTCACCGATGCTGACATCACCGCTCTGTGTGTCAGTAGAATCCAAGGTAACTGGTCAGCCGATGTACTTGAGCCAGGAAGCGTTGAATCACATGCAGGTGAGATTTTCGGATTTTCACGATTGTTCTTTGATAGAATCTAATTTGTTGAAGGCATGTCAAAACGAGGCGTTCATTTGGAGGACGAAAGCCGCGCAACTGGAAATTGTCGTTAAAGATCAGATGGTGAAGGCAAGTCGTATTGAGGAGGCTTTACGAGCAGAGTTGATGGCAGCTCGGGCTGGGCAGTTGCCTTTGGTTCGTTGTAACTATTCTGAAAGAAAACTATCTAAAAAAAGTTCCCTGCGCGACCACGCTCAAAAAAAGGGCACGACAGGAAGTGTGGAAGTCGCCAATCAAATATCCTAACAAGCAAGCACCAATAGGGAGAGCGCAATGATCCCAAATAACCCGCCCACTCGCCTATAGCCTGTAATGCTACCGAATAAAGTTCGAGGCAGAAATGCAAGAGTTTCTTTTTAGCATGATGAGGTTCCGAAGAAGTCGACAGCCAGTGGAGATGACCTGACAGTGGACACCCCGACAAGGGTGTCGCCCATTTCATTCGAATGCCATACGCCATCGTGCATTGAAAAGAAGAAGGATCTCATGCAAGAGAACGCTCGATTGGCTGAACAAGTAGGGTTTTCGGTATTTGACAAGGAAAAACGATAACAGGGAAATTCATGTTCGCCTACGAATTGCGTAACCCTTCATGATTCATTGAAAACAAAATTGCGTTGTTTTGTAATTAATTTCGGGCTCCCACATTGTTTGGTTTCAGGTGGAAGAAGTCAGAATGAGAATTCACGAGTTAGAAGATGATGTGACAGCTCTACGGCATGAACTGGAAAGTGTTGAAGATCATCGGTATTCTTCTTTTTGATGTTTGCGATACACGGGTATGGGTGCATTCACCCAGAACTGAATGGACGCGGCAAACCGCGCGGCGAAATTCATGGTGATTGAAACTTTTTTGGCGCCTATCATTGGGGCACGGGTTTAAGTAGGTTGGATAAGTAGGGCCAGCTGATGCTGCTTACCAATCCCACTACAAGTTTGTGCCCCAATGATAGGCCCCAGAGTCGTTTTAATCACCACAAATTTCGCCGCGCGCTTTGCCGCGTCCATTCAGTTCTGGGTGAATGTTCCCCCGCGATACACTAATAGTGCCGCGACGCGACACTTGTTGCGATGCGGTCTTTTCAGGAATTACCACTCTTAGACTTTAAGAGCCTGTAGAGTTACAAAAAAAGTAGTAATCTTGTAGTGAATAGTTTCGGATTGCAGAGATCGTCTGAAACAACAGCTCGAAGTCACAACGAAAGAACGTGATTCAAAGATTGCCGAAGTTGCTGCATGCGATATAGTAATCACACGACATCAGGTGTTTCTTGTTTTGAAAAAACCGTCATAAAATTGAAGGCGAAGAAAGTAAACTCTCAAAGAATTTCGCTGCTTTGATCTTTTCACGTCTTTTTTGGTTTCAACCTACAAAATTCTTAGAGAACTAAAAAAAGGTGTTTTTGAAGGGTATATTGGGGCAACTAAACTTGTTGTTGACCACGATATATTTAAAATGTTTTCCAATTTTTGTAAAGTCGCAGTGTATTTTTGGATGGGGGGTTGCGGAACTGATGGTCGAGTTCCCACGGAATCAGAGATGCACCCATACGCCGCTCGAACACAAAGGCGCATACTCTTGGATGACCTCCCGGGAAGTATAAACCCATTGCGCGTTGTGTAACCCAAGAATGGCTATTGTCGGTTTTTTTTTTACTTAGTTGTAATAAACTAAATGGTACACGTACCATCATAATGTGTACCCCATTTCAACGTTAATCGTACTTTTTGTTGACGTTTACGTAGTTAAGTTGGGAATACTTCATTTGATCATTTTAGAATGAAAAGGATACGATGCAAAAAGCGATTGCCTACATGGAAGAGAGAATGCAAGTCTATCAGAATACGTTGATGGAACATGACCTTATTATCAGTGATGAGAACAGCAGTGACTGGCGGAAAGGCTTCGTGGATCCAAGGTGAGTACATTTAAAGTACATTGTACTGCTAAATTCATACTTGTTAGGCTAACGCGTAAGTAAGGTTGAGTAGTATAAAGTATTCAATTTGTCTCCTTCTTCACGGTGTCGGAGGGCACTCGAAAAAAAAACGGCGGCCGCATGAGTCGCCACGTGTCTCAGAATCATTTATTACCTTTCACTGGTTTTTTACAGAGCTCAAGGCCAACATTTCAGATATAGTGTTATGGTTTCTAAACGGGTTCAAACAGATCTGACCTCAGAAGATTTGGCGAGGCATGAGACTGAGTTTATGACCACGAAAAGGAAACTTACGGTAGGTTAATTAGTCCTATACCATTCATTCCTCAGTTTTCTACGATGAGAAAGTTGTTACCGTTTGCAGGAGCTTCATAACGAGTTCACTATTAATCGTTCGGATCTCCATGGCCGATTTGAAGAAATCGAGAAGATCCTTCTCACGAAGACCCAGCTCGTTGAGACCTTATCGAAACAACTTGAGGAAACATGTCGTGATCAGCGTCAGCAGATCGATTCCCATCAGGAAGAGCGTGAAGCTTATAAAAAGTTGGTTTACTGAAAAGTAGCTTAGGCATGTAGTATTCAGAAAAGATCTTGAAGTTTACAAGCAGTCGTTTTTCATCATTACAGAAAACTCGAAGAAATCTCTGCTGTTGCCGAAAAGGTGCCACTTTTGGAAACCCGTATCGAGCAGCTGTTGAAGGTTTGTGACTAAATCATTCAAAAGAATTCGCTCCCCTTACTACTTTGTTACTTTAGGAAAAAAGCGAGTTCGATATCCGTTTTGCCGCTCAACGAGAAGAAATGGAACATGCTCTCGAAGAGGCTTTGAATGAAGCTTTGGCAAAATACAATGAGCAGACAGACTACTGGACGAACAAGCATGCCGCAATGGAACAAACTCTTGAACGGGCCAAAGTAAGATCAATTTACTGGATTTCGTTAAGACAGTTGTTGCTTCTGAGTATTTAGTACCTTATGAGCTAGTTTGACTTGAAACGTAGTGTCCCTTCCACCACGGTAAGCCGTTTTCAGCCTGGGTGGGGTGAGAATATTGATAGGGTAGGGTACTGATATTCGTCAGTCACCGCACAGCCCTATTTATGTAACAAGCAGTCAGAGTTCCTCCTATTTGGGAAGGAGGATAGGAGTACTGCAATTAATTGATGATAAAGATTACTTGTCCTTCTCTTTGAGTAATTACTTTCAGCAAGAAATTGCAATGCACATCAAGGAGAAAGATGAACTTAAGTTGAAGTCGAAACTTGAACGAGCTGACCTTGAACATCGTCTAACTAGCAGTATCGATCATGTGGCTATGTTAAACAGCCAGGTGAGCGGTACTTTTTACAACTTTCCAAATATTTGCTACTCTATTCTTTCGGAGTGAATCTTTGAAATAGAACTGTCTTAATCGATGACCTAGGCTCCATGATTTTTGCCGTATTATAAATTTTGTGGTTCCAATCGCATCATCATTGGTCCCTTGCTTTCATCGACCAAACATATGAGAGTTGCAGATTGTCCCCCATTTAGCGGGATGGACATCATTCGAAGCATAAAATGGCTGAATTTTTGCTGTCTGAGCCCCAGTTAAAAGTGTATAGCTTGCTCGACCCTTGAACAATCTCTTTCATTTGTTTAGTAACTTTGAGAAGGGTAGTTGATTCTATCGGTTTCTGTTGGAGATGCATTTGACTCGATAATTTCAGATGAACAAAAGCAAGCGAGACGTAGAATGTGAAGCTCGTCCAAGGCACGTCAGTAAGTATGTTGCTTGCAGGCCGAACTCAAGAAGTAAATCTACTACTATCACAAAGGTGATGATTTTCATTGGAACCCCCTTTTCCTCACGGTAATGTTCAATTACATAGTTATATTATTTGCAGGGAGATCTATTTGACGAGAATGAGGAGAGATTAAAATTGTGCCAAGGTGAGCTGGCCACGACAAGAAGGCAAGTTCATGTGCTGCAACAGAAACTCATCAGCGTCATGCAAGAGAAGGTTCGTCGTAAACTATCTGTCGCTCGATATCAATACGGCATGAGTGAATGCTAAGGTGCGCTTCGTTGTGCGCGTCCGTCGGAGCTAGGTCACGCCGCAGCCGTCGCATGCGGCGGGTCAGCTCGCGATACTTGACAGACGTCGCAGTTGTCAGGGGGCATACGATTTGCGCTTGGTCCACGGCAGTCAGCCAAAGAGAAAATAACACGGACAAAAGCAAATCGTTCGCTCACTGACACTTGGTGGTTCTGTAATGTCATCCTGAGACCTCAGTGGGGTGCGCCGCGCGCGAATTGGGCGGGGTGACCTTTTTTTCGAATGACGCGCGCAACGGACGTCCTCCCCGACCGACAACGAGCTTCTGGGCGGGTCTCTCCAGACAATTGCGCTTTCTCCATTGGTCCTTTCTTGCTGGAAGTGGGAGACTCGTCAACTAGAAAACAAAGACCCAATAATGCATGACCAAACCGAAAATTACTCTATTTTCATATTCTGTAAGTGGATTTCTATAGTGTGTTGAAATCGATGCGAATTGCTATCAAAAACTTAAAAACATCGTTTTAAGTGTGACAGCGTCACCTGCTGTTACTGTCACAAGACGTGGATGGGTACTAGTAGACGATAGTTTATTTTCACGTTTCAGGCTGACAAACGTGTACAAATCCGTCGTCGTATCCCATGTGTTGTTGAACGTGAACCAGAGCCCCCAAAGGCTGACGTGGAGAAAATCGAAGCGCTTCAGACGAAGAACGCTGAGCTTCGTGAACAGGTGATCATCAATGAGTCGCATGTCAGTTCATTACCGCTTATCCTTTTTACTTTACTTTCAAACTACACTGTATATGAATAATTGAGTGTTGTGATTGCATTGTGGCCCTTTGTTTCTCCTTGGTTCAGACAAATAATGTGTGTGAAGTGTCACCAGATGGACTTTTCCCCTGTTGTAGCAGATAGTGTTGTGTAGTGATGTTCGTTGTCTTATCGTTGCTTTGTATTAGTTGATGGCGGCCGAAGAGGAGAAGTCAGCACTGGTCCGCAGTGAACGCGAACGTATTCGGCATCTTGTTAGTGAGTTCGAGAACGTCCGTCGTGAGCTGGACCAGGTTCTTGCTGTTTACACTGTTTGATAGTTTTCCTAGATGTTTATGGGAAATCGAAATTGTTAACGATTCAGGAGATGAGCCGTTATCAGTCCGAAAAGATATGGCTGAAATCCCGCATTCACAATCTTGAAACGGATAACGAAGAATTACAACGGACAATTGAAGCCAGGGCTGAAGGAAGTACTTCATCCAAAGACATGGGATCGTTCAGGTGAGCCAACTGGCCCATTAGAGGTTGGAACGGCGCCCAAGCCGCTCTGTTTTCTATTGGATACTGCCTCGCTGGGAAAGCTTGTGGCTCCGCCCCTCTTTGCGTGAGCCCGACTAGATGGCTATTTGTTGTAGAACTACCACAAATCCTGTCTTTTAGTGCTTACTTCATTTTTTTTCAGAAAAACGCTGTCTGAACCCGAACTGGGGCATGATGACGAGGAAGCTGCACGGCTACGAGCGGAAAACATCACGCTCAAAAGGTTTCCCAGTTTTGAAAAGAAGTTCGAAGGCAATATACACGGCAATATACAGAAGTTTTCAAGCCAACAATTTAATAAAATAGAATATGCGAAACTTTGTATCAGTTTTCATCGTGTATGCTGTCTTTTGAAGGTTACATAACTAGTTGAACAATCATGTTCGTGTCTTAGGCGTCAATGAACAGCACCGGCTCAGGTATAGCCGAGACAAGTCAGTTGTAAAGCATGGTGTTGCGTGTAAATACGTACGTAGAATTTACGTAGCGCATTCTCTATCTACATATTAGCGCTTAACATGACTAATTCCTCTTACTAGTAAGGTACATCGCAGATTTGATCGATTTCAGAGAGCTTGATCGGGTCCGTGATTCATTAATTCGTGCTACATCAACCATTGGTCGTGATTCAAGTCACTTGTCGCCAGCCTTCGCCACTCTTGCCGATGATCTAAATGTGGTACGATAACTATTCATATAATTCTACAGTAGTACATCCATAAATCTACAAAAATATGTAAACTTCAGTCGTTCTAAAGAGTGGTGGCAATACATGGGACGTGAGCGGGCGGTTTCGGTGCGGTTTGCATATTGCAGATATTAGTAGATATCGTGCAACTCGTAATACCGTAATCGCTATCGAACTTGTGATTTACGCGTGCTGCCCTTGCGTTTTAAAATAACAGAATGTGATATTTTGCTTGATGTCCATGAGCAAGCTAACCACTGTATAGGTGTGTGTCATTAGGTCAGGATTCATCGGAAGCTAAGTTTGTCGCTCGCTGCGCATGATGATGACTTGAAAATATGGTAGATAGGGTTTTTTGTTCTATACTCACTAGTAAACAATATGTTTCTAAACCCAGTTTTGTCGAAACTTTACGTATTGTTTTCAAGGATGAGTTTCAGATTTTCTGAAATTTTCAGGTAAAATCGGATCTTGAGCAAATTCTTAATTCAATGGAGGGTACCTCATCCAGTACATGTGATAAACTTGACGATGTTTTGGTGTCACCACTTCAAGGCCGAGCTTTAGTTGACGATGAAGAGCAGTTACAATCGGTGAGAAATGGTTGAAATGGAGCATGAATGCATCACCACTTTTAACATCCTTTTCTCCGATCAGAAAATAGTGTCTGACTGCCAGGAAACCGATGATTGAAATAATAGCACACCTGTTTTCTACGAAATCGGAAAACTCCTATGCAATTGATGAACAGTCCTAGTGAGTGTGGTTCCGTCCTTTGGGCATGGTCTCGCTATCCCTATGCTGCCCTTTCCCTGGACAGAAGCCAATTGTTTTTTTCATAGAAAATCTCGACCGGAATGAGTTGAGCAGCGAGGGGCTCCGTCAGAGTTAAGGGCGCCAAAGGAACAGAGAGAAAGGCGTTTCTTTCGTTATTGTTTTGGAAAAAGGCCGAGTTATAGAATAGGGCAATATTCATTTACAATTTAAGAAAATTCTGTGGTTCTTTTTGTTCTTAGGTAGCCCTGTGTAATATTTTTGTTATTATTTTAAGTTGGTTCTTTTGGCGTTTTCAATATTCATAAAGATGGTTCTTTGGAGCTCATCTAGCGAACCCCTTTCGGTTGTTCAATCTTAGCTCGAAACTATTCTTTCTGAAAATGTCCGCTGACAATTGGCTTCTGTTCACAGACAGAGAGTTTTTTTGATCCCCATCTAATCTTTAGGTCACTATTACTTCAAAAGTGTACGTTATGAGAATGTTCTAGACTAGAACGTTCTCTGTGTCATCACTATCATTGTGATGAATCGTTATTTCAGAGTGTAGCAGAATCTATCTGAATCCACGAATTAGTGAGAATGAAGTCATTTTTTCTCTGCACATACCACAAGAATTCTGATACACCATAGATTTACTAGTACGGCATGGTTTTGTAAAGCGAACTAACCTTGCCGTGGCGTTACTTATACTTTTCGTGAGGCATTTGCAAAGCTTGCCTCGGATTGTCCCCGTTTTATTCAGTGTGCTTGATGTTAGATGATTGTGTATATATTTCAGAATATTCTCGAGACAGTTATGATGGGATGGGAGGCGGATGAAAAACAGAATTTGGTTCGAGATTTGAAGCGTTCGCGTCAAGAACGTGAGGTGATGAAGGTGGGTTCATACTTCTGAGCTTTGAAAGGCTCTAGGAGGCGCGCAGATGCAACACGGCTCGGTCGGGTGTTGGACGCACTGCGAAGGGATGTATAATATATTCGTCCGAAAGCACAGTTCGCGATGGAAATGGTTTCGGGACTTGTTCATTGATAGGTATTTATACCCCCTGGTATAGTCACATGGGATCGTGTCGTAAGAGGTCTGGACAGCGTGAAAAAGAACTCAAAAGTAAGTCGCCGCTCTATTCATTCAAAAAGGAACGTGTTTAGCTGACTCAGAGGGGAGGAAATAATTCGCAATGGAGCACGTTTGTTGTGATTGCAACAAGTTGATATATTCTAATGGTCACACGCCTTGCTCTTCGCCGGCTGAAATCTGGTCCACTCACCTTCATAGTCGAAACCTCGTTTACCGTAGAAATGATTCATCTAAGAAGGCATTATATCTTAAAGTTTCTGCAAATTTCTCTTTGTTCCTTCATCACCGATGAGAAAATTTGTTAAACTTTCGCCCCGCTCACCCAAAAATGATGAACATGATTTGATCGCCAAATGTGCCTTTGGACTGGCCAAAACTGTACGCACTTTCGACAGCTAGAGCTCAAATGATCTTTTCACTCCAAACCGATCACACATACTTTTGAGGTGCGGTACCTTGTCTTTCAGTGTGCAATTACACTCACGTTTAGACTCGCATCGAGAGGCTTTCTCACGAGCTGAGCGAGGCGCGAGCGGAGCTGGAAGTGTACCGTCGTGAAGGAGTCATGGAGCGCCGCGTCAGTGCTGTACGTGAGGGAACCCCGTTTGTGGTGCGCAGTTGTAGCGCAAGCAACCTCGCTGTCGACGTGATAGACAAGGATGAAATTCGAAAGTGAGCCTTTTAGCAGTTTTTACCTCTACTCTCGATTTTCCACATTTTTCAGGTGGAAAGAAAAGTGTGGTACGATGTTCCGTGAGTTGAATGCTATGAGATCCGGCTACCAACGTGCTCAAGAAGAGCGTCGTGAGCTCAAAATTCAACTGGCAATGTTGCGTGGTGAATTGGAGATGACAAAATGCCAGAGCGAGAGGTAGATTCCTTTTTCTGAAACTGAACCGAAGGCTCGAGTCCCGAAGAGACCGCCTATGATTGACTGTTGCAAGTAGTCCGCCTTTCCCGAGCATTTCTGACCTGTCCGGCCCCTCGTGTTTGAAGGCTTGTTATCTCGGTGCTTCAGAGATGCCGAAACGTCCATGGAGTCATCCGTGTACTTCTCGCCGCATACTGCTCGCAGCAGAAGCTATCATACTCCTAGTGAACTTCGTAGGTGAGTAGCAAGCGGCTTCTCAGATGTTACTCCATGTATTGTGCATTACTTTAAGGGAATCACGGAGTAGCGTGATCGTTCATCAAAATCCGGCACCATTTGATCGTGGCTCTACTCGTGAGAGCGTCGTTTGCCGAATTACTGCTGCGAAACCTCGGAGTATTGAACGAGGCCGATCTCGGAGCGAATACCGAAGAAGGACCACTTCATCAAAGATCGATTTCGAGGCGAAAGAACGACGGCGGAGTGCTAGAACGGTAGGTATCGAGTAATTTTTTCTTCAAAAATGCGCATAAGCGAACGTTACTATTCCGTCGGGAATGCGCCACGTACTTGCGGTTTCGGACTGGGATGCTACTAGGATGTAAACTTGACCTGTATTATTTCTTGCAGAACTCCCACTTGTTACTGTCTTAGCTTCTACCCACATATGTCGATTCTCTGAGAAAATCATTGGATTTCATGCTTATATTGAGTGGCTAGTTCCCCGAACTCCCTCTGACCATTACATCTACTCTCAGGCTTCGTTAGTCTAGCGATGGAAATGCTTTTCAATGCACCTTTTCAGAATTTGCCTCCGTCGTTGTCGTCTTCGATAACCTCGTTACCTGGCAATCATCCGGCCGATAAAGCCACTCCTTTACAAAGGTAATCTACACTCCTGAGCATTGGAGTGTCTGTACGAAATAATACGAAATAACGTTTCTCTTTCTAGGCATTTCATGACTCAGTCTTGGCACGAATCCAGTCAACAGCGTAACATCTTCGTTGCCGAGCCTAAGCCTACAGTTTCGCGACCGGTTGAAACCCGTCGCGAATCCCGCGTGATATCATTACGGGAGCGTGTGGGACAGTTGTCCCGAGAAAACCGCACCCTTCATGATCAGCTAGCCACTGCCAATGCTACGGTAAGTTTTTTTTTTTTTAACTTCCTCTGATGAGTGAGTGATGTAAGCAATGTCCAGAATAACGCAAAAAATCCAAGAGGATGCTGAAATCGACGTATCCAGAGGGATAAAATGCCTCAAAAAAGACAAAAAGGAAGTAAAGTTGGGGTTCGGACGAGAATGTGACTGTATGGATTGCATGGAGGGGATATTCGGACGAGCTGTTCGCGCCATTGCATACAACTGGGCTTGCGTGCAGGGTGAGGGTCTCGGTGCGAAGGGTGCAACCTCTACAGCTGTTATGACGCTTGAGAATTCGTCCGCCTTTGCTGTGTCCGTCCGCTGTGCCGGTTTTATGGCCTTCATTACACCCTATTTTTAACGTTTTACGACCCGTCAGTGTCCCATAGGCTACCTTGGGAGTTACCGGTTCACCCAAGGGAAAACCTCATTAACCATTTTCAACGTGAACTGTGCCCTTAAACGCTGCAGGGGTGGTGGGAGAAGAGCGGACGGTTTCCCATATCAGTGAAGGGAGGACTACTCAGAAACCTTATATCGTAAATATTTCACTGCACACCGACCAATCATCAAGGACCAAAGTTCGTTGCTCACATCATCTGCAAGACCATCCTGGTGCTCGATTGCCCTGTTCAGAGCACGTTACGCTCTAGCAGGTGTTTCTATGACTAGGGATGAATTGTGGACAAAAAAGGCTAACCGTATGAATGATCGAAGGAATTCGCTGTCTACTGTGACTTGATATTGCTTTTTTCGTAGTTGACTAGAGGAGATTCACAAGTCGTGCGGATGACCCTCATTCTCGTCTTTACCCTGGAATTCGGTGCCAGAGAAGCCATGTCTACGTGTTGTGAGAGAAGGGAAAAGACCTCAGTCGACACGGTCAGTTAATAGCAGGGTTTTTGAATCGGTATGTGGCCCATCTATTGGCTTGAAGTAGTCAGCCGATTCCAAGTCAAGGCTTTTACTGTCCCATACAAAGCTGGTATCAATTAAGCGACCTCAGAGAAATGGAATTCGTGGCTGGCCTGAGGGAGTATCTGCGTGGGACCTGATCCCTGGACCACGTGTGTGTGCGCCATTTGACATTACACCACCTCAGGCCTTTCATGTCGTTGATGTTAGGTGAGCAAAACTTCAACAATTCTGAAGCAATATTGTTACAGATTGCCAACCTAAAGGCTAGCACATCCAAAGCAATGGATGTTGAACGCTTGAACAGGCTTGAACAGGAGAAAGATGCCTTACGCAGTAAAATCGAATTACTGCTTGCGAAAATTGAACAGGTCGGTTTAGGTTCGGAGTTTCTGTAATATTTGTCCTATGCCAGTCACTTTTAGGACTCCTCTGATGCAAGTACTGCTTTAGCAGATGTAAGTGCTAGATTAGAGTTAAGCCGGCAAGAGAATGCGATTTATGAGAAGAAGATTCGTGACATGGAGGAGGAGAGGTATGGCGACTGATTTCTTCAAAGGGACTCTATTTTTCTAGGTGATAATGGTTTCTAATTATTTTCAGGAAAGAAATGTACCTGGTTATGTTCAAGAAAGGTCAGGAGGCTGCCACAATGGATATGAAAGAGGTAAATACGTGACGTGAAACTGTTTATAATGCTGTTAATACGTTTGACACCAAAAATCAGGCACTGAGCTAGGGTCGTATCGTGAGCATTCCCACTCGCTGTAACCTGACAGTCTAGAAAAACTTTAGATTAAGAAAAGGAGCACGAGGTCCCCGTCTCTTAAACCTCACACTTCTGCATAATGGAACCCTTAAACTTTTTTTTAGGTCGCACACATAGATCAGATGACCCAAGACCGTGTCGTGCTTCGATTTCTCCATGATGCATTTTACTATTACCTTTTGAATAAAGGGGATTCGAAGGAACATCTACAGGTACTCTAACGTTTCCTGATGATTTTCGGCTTTATTTAACTTTTTATTGCAGGCAATCATGACCATGCTGGACTTCAGTGCTGAACAGAAAGACGAGGTGGCAAAGAAGCGAGGTCGATAAAGAGGATAACAAGAATCAGATATTTCGACAGGGCATCTCTCATACGGGTCGCGAACGCATTAATTCAACTTTTTAGTCGAATAATTTCAAATATTTCGAACCGTTTCGCCTCAGAACATTAATTGTCTTAACCTCAGTTATTTACAGAAAAAATAATTCTCATTCAATTTTCTAGTGATATTGAAATGTTTGTATCATGTATTGTACAAAGAATCTCAAATTGAGTCTTCCCGGTGATATTCACTTATTTTAGTCTATTTCGATTAGTTGTTGCTTAATTCTGTTAATAAATCTTCATACATAACGACCAAACGTGAAAAGACTAGCCACTTTCCTGTGGAGCGTTGCTTTTCAATGTTCAGAGTAATGGTAATATTGGCAGGCCTAACAGTTCACGAATCGATCATAAGCGGCCTGTTAGTACCGGATGGGAAGTAAGTTGAACTGTGAAATGAAATACGTGGTGTGAATCGATGATCACCTGTATAACCTGTCGTCCCACTAATCATCGATTTCTTCGAGGGGGTGCCAGTATCTGCCTCTATTCGTCCGCATGTGGGTGCATGGAGCTGGAGCAGAAACTTCACTAAATTGTGTACTTTACTCCTGACAGCGAAAATTTCGTTGAGCTGAATTTCAGCCTCCTCGCCTCGCTCGAATCCAGCTTTTCGACTTTTCAACTGCAAAACTCACTTTTTAGTTGTGCAAAATGATTGAAGAGCTAAAAATGCTAAAAAGGTCTGAGGTGGGCGGTCACGAAATAGGTTTATGCCCCATGAAGAGAAATGTACCAGTTCATCAACGCATTACGACTCTAGCCAACGTGATTTACAGCAGTATTAAATGATATCTCGCACAGTGAGGCTGCTTTCATAGTCCACGATTTGGCCCGCGAGCGAGCGATCAAGCGATTGGAGAGTAAAGCTAATAATGGCGAGAAGGCTGAAACCTGGTTAAAAAGCTAGAATTAGTTGCTGCCATTTTTTTGCTATGAGTAGTGATACGGTTAATGATGTTGAAGAAGCTCAAAACTTGAGAAAAATCTGACTTTAGAGGTTGTTGAACCTCTCGCTCTCACCTATTCATTCTTCTCATATATCCATGTTTGAAGAAATGATCATTTTGGCAAAATTGTTGCATCCGCGCATTTCTCTTCTCTCTCTCTACTATTACTTGAGCAACGTGAGATATAAAGTGGCAAGCATAGAGGGTAAATGAAAGTGTTGAGACGATGGATGCGTGAACGACGTGAGTTAAATAGGTTAGTAAACATCAAAACAGCCGAACAAGTTGGAAGTAGTTGCTGTTGATGAGTTGTGAGATGAAGATGTTTAGTTTTGGCCACATTTCGGCGACTTGTCGTAGTTATAAATACGATTGTTCTGTGTTGCAAGCGAGTTTATGTTCGTAGACATTACTGCGAGTTTACCGATGTCCGTTATGCAGAACGAGGATTTCGGTGCAATGTTTCGGAAATTGAGTGGGTACGGATCTCAGTTCTCGTCTGTTGAGGAAGAGATCGACTCCATAGTGTTGGTGCTGTCTTGCTGAGTTGTTTCCCTGTCCACATTCTGGGAAGCCAAGAAGGAATATGATAAGATGAAGAACAAATCGTTAAAGTCAAGGAACTGCTACAATTCTTGAGATTTTTTTGCCTTCACTTTTCTGCGGGCAAAAGCCTGCGTGAAATGTGTCTTAAAAGTGCTAACCTTAAAAATCCGAACTGTCGACCTCGCACGTAAGGAGCCACGCTGCTATCCTCTGCACTATCGGACCACATGTTCGGTTCTCATGTTAAGTTCATCATACGGAATACAATATAACTCACCCGACCACCTAGACCGAATAAAATTTATACGCTCGTCCGACGTGTATCCACTATTATAGACTCAGAATCGGTTACTGAACGTGAAACGCTTCAAATCTAGAAGCCCTAAACATCTATCTGAAATTCCGCATGCATCCATTCGCACCAGACTGCAAAAACTCGAGACACAACGCCTTTCGCATCCATTGACGTCAGGCATTGAGCTGCTGGAGTGGCTAAGGAACCCAATAGGATCCACCTAGGGATCTTATGCGATGCCTCGCTGGCACGGGTTCGCTCCCTCCAATGGAGGGGTGTGGGCTCGGTCCTGCTGAGCCGAATTGCCCGCCTGCCCATCGGACAGCTCGTTTAAGCCGAAGTGGGCTTAAGTCGTCATCTAACTAACTGGCGGGCTGACATAGCCGAGAGCTAAGCCGAAAGGATGTGTTCTCACGGTGTAGCGGATAAGAGTCCGGATTCACTCTAGAAAAGTGAGGGGTTCGGATTCGCGGGGCTACGACACAATTTTGAGTCGTCGCATGAGAGCGCATTCAAGCTGGGCCATACCTGCACTTCAGATTAACGGAGTTTGCATGAAGTGTAGATTCCGAAACACAGCAGATTCCCTATATAAGCCTTGACTTGAGCGTTTCAGGACTTCCCACTTACGGCTTCCTTAGCAAATCATAACGCTTCAGTCCTGAAATTCCACCATGTACGTACAGAGTTCATGTCAAAAGATCCCTAGTGGCTTCGGAAAGTTGAAGATTGGCAGCTTGCAGCCTCCACCCATTCTGACAATAAATGAGCCAATTTTCTTCCACAATGCGCGAAAATCAAAATGTCTACTCCTTGAAGTTTTGAGGAGCCTTGGAGTTTCAGTGTCCTTCCTTCAGATAGGTAGCGTTCCTCTGTTGGCAGCTCACTTTTTGAGTTGATGTGCAACAAACAGCAAACTGGTCTTGTTACCATCTCTGCTTGTGACGCATGACGTCGGAGGTCTGTCATTCACCTCTGGACTTTGAAGTCCTCAGAGAAGCAGGGGAGGGTTGATTATAAAGTTAAAAAATGTCGGGTAAAAATTGTCTGGTTCCTCGATTCATACTGTCATCCAGTACCACATTCCCTTTACCTTCATGCTGTTCTCTGTTCCCTGTTGTTCAAAGAAAATCATAGACGAAATAACTCGAGAGTGAGACGTCACAAGCAGAGATGGTAACGGGACCAATTTACCGTTAGGCTGCACATAGGCTCAGAAAGTGGGTCGCCAGAGAGGTATACTACCTATTCGAAGGAAGGAGGACAGACTGAAGGCTGAAACTGAAACGGGAAATCTGAGAGTTCAAGTTTTTCGGAAATTTTCATGCGGGGGAGCGTTTTCAACACTCAAAAAATAAAATCGATCATAAAAATTATCCTTAATCATGAAATCAAAATTGAAAATTATCATGAAAAGAAAAATCATGGCGAATCACCCATGAAAATTTCCGAAAACCCTGATCTCTCAGATAAACATTCTTTCTAGATGTATTTTGAGCCGCTGAATTGAATGGCTCCAACAGCAGGTCCCTATCTCGCCTTAAAACCGAGATATGGTCGTTTTTATTCTTTCGACAAGTCGAAAACGGTCCCCTCCATGAAAATTTCCGAAAAACTTGATCTCTCAGATCTCCCACTCAACACGCTTACTAGATGTATTTCGAGCCGCTGAATTGAATGGCTCCAACCGCAGGTCTCTATCTCGCCTTATAACCGAGATATGAACCGATTATTTTTATGACATAGCTGGCTACCCTGCCTGTCTTTATCGTTGTGTCCCAACGCAAAGTAAGCCTTCGCTGACTGACTTACAAAGCAGCATCGCTCGGCTAAGCTGTCTAGACAGAAACTCTCGCAATTCTCAGTTCAGTAGAATTCTTAAGCATTCCAGTCATCTTTGAACATTTCGGATGGGATATAGCCCTCACATCAATGTAAACGCTATACTGTCCCTAATATTTACAAGGTGCAAGTATGTCGCATTGAATCGTGGCGCGGCTGACTGGGCACGAGTGGTCACTAAAGGGCAACCCCAAATAGCTCCGCCCGTTATCGACGAGAATCAGCCAACTGCAACTTTCGGGAAAAGCTCTGATAACAACGAAACTGCTTCATTCTCGAAAAGTCTTTGACGGCGTACAACTTCTCGTTCGCCCTTCTCTTAAAGTAATAGATGCCAAAGTACAACAGCTGTATTTACGTATTGTTTTATGACAAACAAGTACAAAAACAAGAGAATGGCATGACATGCAAGATGGTGCAATCAGTGCAACTATATCACATTATGCACATTTAAAATCAGCGACCTAGGCACTACACATGCAATGACGTGCGACAACGTTTTCAGGCATCTATCAGAAGCACCAGTGAAACAAAACGGCGCCATTATCATGATGCAGTATGGGAAAAATAACCATAATGAGTAGTAGGTAAGCATGATTCACCCTCATTACAACCCAGAACGAATAACACGGTAGAACCTAAGCCAACGATTGTGTGTGTCGATTGATTGATTGGTTAATTTGGGTGTTTCTATCTAACAATAAAGACGTATTCTAATGAAAAACATTACAATTACCGGGTAACATATTAAAGAGGAGAACAATCGATAAATTACAACAAACAAATGATACAGCGATGTGGACTTTGCGTTCGGAGATTGACTACAGTAGATCTCGACTGCAGAAGAACATTCGGGTGATACGTCCCCTTTTGAACTCACACATTGTTGCCATAAAGAAATAAGCAATGATCATTGAATAAGGTTTGGGAGCCAGCTCCATACTGGGGCAGTTCTCCAAACCATTGTCAATTTACTGCTTACCCTATTTCCTATTTCACTCGCAAGCGAACACAGGCAGAAGTCACCCTCAATATAATAATTATTATCTAAAGGAATCGCTCTAAAAAAACGATATACAAAAATCACAGAGAGATTCAAAGGACAACACGCACAAGCTATGTGAAGCCTCGGATCCAATAACTGCTTATAATGGAAACAAGACCAATAAATGAAGGCATTATAACGCATCAGATTGAGCCTAATTACAGTAACCGCGCAACATGAAACAACCAATGATTGCCTAATATCGCCTAATAAAGATGTGCTGCTACAGAAACAACTTTGATACAGGCGAGAAAAGAGAGCGCAAGAAGAGAGCAAAAAGAACTTGAACAAAAAGATGACATCAGATTGTCATAATAATTAGTAAGAAAGAGAATGGTATTTATATCAATAACATTAATGCTAGCCTTACTTAATTATTTCTATGAGAAGCAGCACCACTATGCGGAATTTTGGGTTTTTGCCAAAACTGGTCCTGAATCGTGAAACCATCGATAGTCGCACCAAGATGCTTCGTGGGGATTTGTGAAAAATTCTTCGCACCCGAATCATACCTAAAAGTACAAGGATAGAAATCTATCACAATAATCATACTACTTTACTCTATTACAGTTCATAGAATAGAAGAGATGTGCGACATACAGATGAGGGCATGTGCGTCGCACATGAACTCAACGTCGCAGTGAACAGAATACAAGTTCATTTGAAAACAAAAGTAAGGCAAGGTAACTGAATGATTAGAAAGAGAATGGCAGCGGGGATCGTTGTGAATGTCAAAAAGGGAATGAGATACGAAAGAACAATCTTTGAAACGAATTCTTACTTGAACATCAACTTCATGATACTCTCAGTGCACTTGGATGGACCCTGTCCCGAAATTTTGATAGCCGTATCCGATACCTGGAAATGCAAACATTTACTGCAGTTTCCAATACGTAGGGAGCGTTCTGTGGCCTCATTGCTCCTTAAGCTCAAACCTATTTGAAGAGAGACTTTGCTTAAGCTTCAATCACTTTTCAGACATCTTTTGCACACACTAAGAAATTTCTACGTATGTTTCATGAAAGGCAGCATAACCGTCTCCAATCAAAAGGCTACAGAAAATATGTTGAATGCCGAATGGTTATGAATCATCAGTAAAAGAACAGAGTAAAAGAACAGAATACGTTTCCCCAGCAATGAGTAATCAGAAACCCTTCAACAGACAGTGAAAATAAAAACAAAAAATCATTGTGGAAAAAAAGCCTAAATAGTCACCTGGTCCCAACTGTAAAGGCCTCTGTATTGGCACTTGTAGTCACGGAACAAAACTAGGAAGTGTTTTGCATCTGATGCGGCCAAATCATTCATCGTCTGAAGAACATTATCACAAAATTCGTAAAGAGTAAATTAGAGAGTGGAACTGGGAGATCTACTACAAAAGTAACCTTCATCCTTGTCGTATCGTTGACAGCTCCAGGGAAAACACTGTACTGCAACGCATTGATGATCAATCCACGATTTGACTTTGGCGTAGCTCTTGCAAACAATTTATGGGCTAAAAAAGTCGAAACACTAGGAGTTTGGTCGTAGCGACTGGATGAACAGAAAAATAGGGAAAAATATTGTAAATGGCCTCATATGTGCTGAGCCTATGTAAACACATGCCTTCAAATGTAAAGTTTATTCCGAAAAAATTTATATCTGGTTTCAAAAACGTTCTATAATGCAGAAAATTAATGGTTAGAGGTTATAGGAGAAATAAAGTAAAAACTCTGAAGTGGGCGAGGCTGAAGTTAAAAATTTATGACTCTGTTCAAAAACGTTTTAGAAGCGGCAAAAGTTGTTGGGGGTACAAGTAATGAAAAAAAGTGGTCGAAATTCCGCAGTGGGCGACTTTTGCATTAAGTAAACGGGGCTAAGACTATAAATCTTTAACTCCGTTCAGAAACGTTTTAGAGAGAGAAAAAAAGTGGTTAAAGCTAACAAAAGGAATCCGGGCGTAGCTATCAAGTGAGTGGGTTGGCACAGGGTGGGCGAGCCAAAATCAAAAATTCATAGCTCCGTTTAGAAACTTGTAGAATGCGGAGAAAATGGTTAGGGGCTATTAAAAGAAGGGTAATCAAACTTTTATAGTGGTAGGGGTCTGCACTTAGGTGGACGAGCTATGATAAAGCACTAGTAATAATAGACTCACTTGGCTCTTGCAGACTTTGTACAGAGATTCTTTGTTCTACAGTGGACTGTCCACGAGCACGAGGAAGACGCCCTTTGTCACTTCCCTCAGCACCTAGGGCTGATTCAGACATCTGAACAACTTTCCATGAGAAATTGAAGTAGGTTGACTGATTGAATTGAAGTATAAATAACTGACTGGACTGAATTTTTCGAATTTTCCTTTTTCAAAAAAGTACAACTCATTACCTGCGATTTAGTTCGTATGAATGGCGGTTGAGAATGACCGCGACCAGATGCCCCACGAGCAGAACTTGAACCCGACTCCAAACCAAGCTCCTTTTCCATTTTTCGCCGTTTATAATCGTCCAGTATCTTCTGACTGAAAGGCAAACTTCAGATTATCAAATCATTGAAAAATAGAATTTGAGTCTGACCGCTGGAGCTCCTTTTCCAGCTTTCGCTGCTCAGCCAACTCTCGTTTAGCCAACTCGGCCATTCGCTTTTCGGCATTCCTTTGTTCGATTTGATCGACCTGAACACACGAAATATCGGAGAAGTTTGATCCTCCATATACTGGAAATCGCTAAAAATTTAAATTTCATATATCTCTCCAGCAAATATATTTATTGTTATGAAAGTAAGTTCATCACTGATTCACAACCTACTCACTTTATTCTCGATTTCCTCCTTCCGTTTCATAGTCTTGGCTAAGAGAGCAGCACGCTTGGCTTGTCGACGTTGTTCAGCCTGGAACAGTAAAAATTCGGAAGTGAAAGAAGAAATGAATAATTTGTGTTGTATATTCAAACAAAACTGAATATTCACGAAGAAATCACTGGTACCTCAAAATGGATAATGAAAAAGAAGATATAAGAAGCGTTGGATTAATGAAATCAAGCAGACCTTACCCAAGCTGAAGAGAATGGAAGGATAGAAATGATTGCCTTTGCCTTCTAGTCTCTACTTAATGTTACTTTTCATAGTGTACGCAGTTAAGTTCTTTAGCAGTAATTGTGAACAAAAAAGAGATTCAACCAACGCACAATCTTATCGAAATCCTCAGCAGCTTGATCGTCGCTCACGACGAAAGCCGGTCCAGATGGTGCCGTACTTCTGAACTTGTTTACTTTCAAGCGTTAGCTCCATTGCTGTGGAAAATTGAATCTTTTTTTACTACATACCTGTTCGAATCTACACTGCTTCCATTCGTGTGATTAGCCGGATCACGAGGAGGTGATGGCTGTGATAAAGTTGCTGCATGATCTGGATCTGAAACAATGAACTAGCTAATTGCCCAGCACCAAAGGTGAGAGGAGAGCGAGATTAAAAGGTCTGGAAAACCGAATCGCACCTTGAATCCGTGTACGATCTCCAGAAGAATGCTCGGAAGCAGTTGCACTGGTGACATCGTATGACTCACGAGAATCTCGCGATCGTCGTGGAACTGCACCTATTGGGCATGGTGACTGTCGTTGTGGTTGTTCCTATAAAAATTTTGCGCCTTCTAGAGGATATTCTAGTTGTAGAAGTTCACGAAGAACTCACGTCATCACTCGGTACGGTCGGTACAAGATCTGGCTGATTGACGAGATCATGCTCGCTTTTGATGAACGTCTGATTCTCCCACGTTCTACGTTGAGGACGACCAGTATGACCCTGGAAGCCACACAATAATTAATCATCAATAAAGCGTGAAATCTTCAGCTATAATCAGATATCCCTTTATCGAACGTTAGTTATGGCACCTAAACAAAATGAGCCCAACTTTGGGTATGCCACTTCCACAAAAATATTTAAACAGAAAAACCTATAGTGGGCTCGTTTTTCCCCCAAAAGACAATTGGAAGACGTCGATTTCGTTATGAAAACATATGAATGAATGCTCAAAGTACCTTCTGATAAGTCATGCCCCAGTTTGTGAGGTTCCTATTGATTTCCAGGGGAGGGTCGACACGACTGGACGATGCCTGAAACTATATGGGGATATATGTGAGTTGCTAAGTGCGGTTGAATCGAAAATTGAGGCGGAAGTACCCCCTAGTATTCTACGGAAGTTCTTCAACAATTTCTTTCTTCATGGAACTTTTGTCTACGAGTGGATTTTCAGTCATACCTAAGCTGTGTGAGAGACTGAGCTACAACGAAAGTCCCAACTAACTAAAGCTCACTCTGCACCCAAAGTAGTCGACTACCCCACACCAAAGATGATACGCCGTTGCAAACACGAATAAGGAACAGACGCAGCACACGCACAATGAGCGAGGGTCGTGGAATGACCAGCTTTACTGCACTTGGTAACATAAGCAGTAAGCCGCGATACTTATGGAGCATGCGTCATTCTTAGTTGCAATCATGGCATCGACAATTGCGGGCTCGTGCGCTTGACAGGAAGCTGGCTGCTCCTCGACGGTGAGCTCAATGTCCGCGTTAAGCGTCCACTTTCCTCTTCGAACTACACAAGAGAAGAAAAATATATGAGGGATTTAAATAGTTAAAAGAAACGTATTCACATCTTGGCTATGAAGTCGGAACGTCGCTCCACCATCCTGAGATTCGTAGCCGAGCGGCGGTTGATTTTCAAGCTGCGGCGTACCCTGATATGAAGAATAGGCTTGTGAATGTTGTTGCTGTTGCGACATCATAGCCGGAATCAGCTGAGGAGGTTGAGACTGCAGTGCATAGGAAGGTGAAGTGTTGTGCGCATCAAGCGGCTGTTGCGGATAAGCCGACGAGTACGTTGAAACCGGGGGCGCCATCATTGGCGCTGTGCCTACCGGCTGATGAAGCGAAAAGCCGGTAGCTGCGTGCGCGGACTGATGCATCTGCACAAACAGATCAAGCTCATACACAACCGAAATCCAAGACACCAGAAGAACAAAAGCACTGACAGTCGCAAACTAACTCACCATCGTGTATCCAGGCTGCTGCTGTGATTGTTGTGCATATGAAGGCATATGTGGGGTGTACATGTCTGTAGTATATGATGGCTGCCCAGGCATTGGCGGGGGTTGCACAAGACCAGTGGGGTACTCACCGTACGATGGCATTTGACCCGGAAGATAGTTTAACATGCCATTTGACAAGCTTGAACGCAACTGTAATCACTGTATTAGAAGAAGCCGAACCTTGTTGGAATTTTTGAAACTCTTCTCTCCACACTTCACACTTTTATAGTCACAGAAAGCGAATTTGTGTCCACAGTACATCGCTACGTTACAACGGTTGATTGTCTGACGGGCTCTGCTGTACGGGGTAACGGAACTTCTCCCCGATTGCGGCATTCTCCCTTGCGGCNTGGGGCAAATGTTATTGCAACTACTGTACCCACCCCGCTTCCCCGCCAATCGATAGGACGCAATATTTTTCGTTGATTGCCTTTCTTTTTTTATTAGATTTGATCGTTTTTTCTGTTTCTGTTTCTTTTTCGTTTTTATGTCTATTAGACTTGGTTAATTAGAATGACTCCTCCTATATTAGCGACGATCAAGACCGCATTGGAATTGAGGTGAGCAGCCAGCCAATTCCAATAATTAAAGGACTCCCTATCTCACAGTTTGCGCGCTCCAATTTCACATTGCCATCTTGCGATACGCGGCGGGTGCGGCATGCGCGACGCCGCTCTCGAGGAGAAGATTCCGGACCCCTGCTGTACGCATTGAAATTGACAGGCCTATGCGACTACTCCCACCAAAGCAAAAAAGCAACGTGGCCTGGCACGAATCTACGGATAATCGCATCTTTCCAATGAGTTTTCTTGCAAGCATCTTCTAAAGACCTCTGCTGCAGCTTGATACAGAATGCCATCCAACACGCTAAACTGACAACTTCCAAGGCGTATCACAAGTTCCGTTGCTCCCACCTTCATGGATGGGTTCGATAATAACAAATCGCTAATTTTGCGATACACACTGCACAAAATACTTGAAAACTCCTATGATATCGACATAAAATTATTAACAGTTAAACTTGTGCATGTCTATTCCTAATTCCTCTGGCCAAACGATAAATATAAGGCATTTTCCCAATTCGCCTAGAACTGAATTAAGTGATAACAATCAATAGATACTTAAGAAACTGTACAATCGCATGCTCGCCCTGACTGTTACTTATGCTTACGCCAAATTTCAGACCATCACTACTACTACGTTGTAGTTTTCGCTAAAGCACTGACTCTCTATTATTTCACTATTATTGCTGGGTGCGCCGCAAGGCTGCGAAACAGAAGAGCTCGCCCATGCATCGCAGAAATATTTTACCTGTACAAAATGTTGATTTCAAAAATGTCGATAGAAAATTGAGCATAACGTAAGAAAAGTTCAAGAAAAGGTACAAAAAACACGGGCAGTAGCTACCCTAAGCCCTTTGAAAATTTACCTGTTGCGGTTGACCATAGGGCCCTTGTTGTGGCTGAGTGTAACCATAGAAATCTTGCGGTTGTTGTTGAAGATGTGCATATGGTTGTGCATAGTTTGGTGCAGCTTGCGTACCGTGAGGCAGGGTTCCATATCCACTTCGGGCCGATTGAGGAGCAGGAGGAACTTCTAAAAATAATAACTGGTTAAAACAGTTCATACCATGAGTAACAAACAGGCTATATACCAAAGAAGTGAGCAGTTGAACTTACCTTGATAGACACTCGGTTGTGATAAAGCACGACTTATTCGCTGCTGATCCGGACTAATATTCATCATGGACACTTGCTGGGCGAGATCTGTTAACTTGCGATCCAATTCACGAATCTGTTTTGCATTCGGTGACTCAGTACCCTCCACGCTCTTAATTGTAATTGTATGATCGCTTAGTCACTCAAAACAATAAGAATTAAGAAAAATGTAACGAAAGACTCACAGAAGCCTCTCCTCTACTCATGAGTGCAAAAAATGCCGCTTTTCCCTTCTCAGCACGTTCCGACTCAGTCATCGTGCTGGAATCGCAGGTTCACCGATAGCTCAGACAGTTGAAGAAATAGAATCAAAATTGGTTTCCACCTCATCAGCGCCTTTCGTTTTTCGTGATCACGGCGTTTTTCCTGAAGCGCGAGCCTGATTGAGGCTATTGGCAGAGAGTCACTCCTCGCGTACGGCGAACATCCCGTTGTAGACAGGTTACCGTTACTACCATCATCGGGCTGAATCAATATGTTTACCCGAAAGCTCCAGAAAAAGAAATGAATCAGGAGACGTAGCATGTTCTACCTGAACCAGACGACCAAAATTGGTCACGTTCGCACCCCAGTACTCAGGTGGCTGACGCTGTGGTGCGACTCGCCACGAATCTTGCGACCTCAAACAATAACGCTCTAATTGTGCCAGTGATCAATGGGCAGGATCTAGAATAGAAACAAAGGACTACCTATTCGTGAGAAGGCTGTCTTGGCTCATCATGCTGATCGAACGAGATGGTATAGCAGTCGGAACTCCGGGTGGAGTGGACGTTACATGCACATTGTTGAACGGATTCCTCACCCTTGGCGGATAAGGATTGCGAGCCGCTGAGTTGGCAGCGCGGAGATCCGGAATCCCTTGCACCGGCACGAATCGCCGAGGTGATGTGACAGATTCAGGTTGAGCCACAACTGGAGAAATCGAAGAGAAATTAATGACAAAAGAAAATAATGGAAGCTAGAGCAGAGGTGTACAAGGCCTGGGGATGCAAACACGATTTTCATAGAAAGAAAATATCCGAAGTCCAACATTAACGAGGCCTGGTTGAAAAATAGTCATACTACCGTATGATTACCATGAGAAATGGACAGCATCTGTGAAGCTATTTTATTACAAAAAAATTATCTCGTTACAAAACGTATTTTCACCCAATGCCACTATCGCAAGCCGTCTTCCTTCGAACTAAAATTCAAACCGGTAATGTTTATCATTTCCGAATACCTCGTCAACTCGAATTTTGTACTCAGTTATAGTTATCTTATCAGTGAAAGAGAAAACCTGAAGGTTAAAACCATCTATGAGCAAGCGCAGAAGACCGATGATTGCGAAACGGCGGTATAAAGAAAACTTAGGTAAGGAGATGCGCCCTTAATAAATTTCTCTCAATGACCAAGGATTTTACAAAGAGTAGTCTCAGAAGAACATCTAAGCAAATAGAATTTTTCTACAGTCGTCTGAAAAGACCCTTGAAACTTTCGCCATCCAAAGAGGCCTTTGCTATGTACTTTGAAATGATGAGATATTTAATAATGAATAATGTCGTGCGTGCGAAGTTTCTTGAGATCCTCAAACCTTACACACCTCCATTCAACGATATGTGAAACATGAAATATTTGTACCTGCAAACCCACCCGTTGGTGCAGGTTCGAAAATCTCGAATAAATCAGCAAGAAAAACGTTGATATTCATTTGCAACGAGTCATGAAGATAAAGAATATCCTCAATCTCGAAGTGAAACGGATTCCACGGCAGACAGTTGAGACAAAACCGTCTGAAACAGTAACAGACCACAAAGGAGTGATCCATAAAACATTGTGCACTACTGCGAAGGTTACAAAAAATTTCAATAAGGAATAGCGTAGACGTGGAAAAATGTTCAGGTGAAAGTAGTCGACAAACTAATTAAAAATGAAAACGAGCTTGAAAAACAGGGCGCAAGGGGGCTTCTTTTCGGATTTCGAGCAAAATTTATCATTAACAACAGAAGCTGAATTAACAAAAGTTCCCATTGCTCTAATAATCTGACCATCTCTTTTAAGTATGACAACTTTCACCTCTTGTGCAAGAGCTAGTCTCTTGAAAGTCAGAGGTAGTCAGTCGGAGGTAGTCATTTAACAGTCAAGCGTTTAGTTAAGTCGTAATAAAAAGTGCTTACGTTTATGAGCAGTGAGGAACGACTCACAGATATTCATTTCGTTCACAAAGCCTAGTGCAGCACTTCAGAATTTAACTAGTCTTTTTCTTGTTTTGTACTTTGAGAAGTTACACAAGATCATATCAAAATTACTTCAATGCATGTGATATAACGGGAAAAGAAATGTGTCAGAAAACAAATGTATAAATGAAATTACTCACTGTAGAAGAAGCAGATTATAGTGGCAATGTGATGTGCTCATCTGGTCGTTATAGCAAATATCTGCAATAAAGATAGTATCAAAAACAACGAGTATCAGTGATAAGGAAACCAGACTCCTAATCCATATAGCCATTTTTCACGCTAAGGTTGATAGAGTATGACGAGAGTGATTTGTTCACCAATCACGTATTACGATACTTTTTTATTAAAGGCTCTCGTTTCAGCCATCGACAGTGAACTGTTTTTCCACAAGTCGGATAGAGACTTAACAGTTCTTTCGTATCACTGATAGGCAATGAGCCAAGCTCACTCAAACTCAGAAGCTAAGGATGAACGAAATTCGGAAGTTACCTTCAATTTCCATTTCGCGCGGTCGATACCATGCAACTAATGTACAGAGACATTGCCCATCGCTGATTTCATCATAAAGATCTTCCATTTCAGGTATCATGCCACCCTCGGAAGCACCTAAGAGGAAATCAACTTTGCTCTGATTTGCTTTGAAAGAATGTTGATATGAAACATTTCAAAGCAGCTAAATTCCCATACCTTTCAATTGGATTTGGGCTCGTTCAACGTCATCTCTCACAAGGAGACAAACTTTGTTTATCCAAAAAAGCAGCGCATCGACTGAATCCACTGGTCGCTCGCTCTCATCGACACTCGTATGGCGACTGCAACAATTCTTCTCACTACCAAACTATTCTATTTTGAGCACAAGGGGAATTGCTCTGAATTAATTTAGAAACAACTATACACCTTACTGCTTCAATGACACGATCAACGGTAATCAAATTACGAAGATGAGCCGACATTAACGCATCCATCATCGCCAAATGAGCCGACTGAAACCAACTCAACTTCTCTAACTTGTCTTCCACCGGTAGGTGATGAGCACCTACACCCACCATGTTAAAGCTGTCTGATGCGAAGAGCTCCGCTTCAGTAACTGGTGACGTTCCACCGTCACTACACTGTAGAACGTCGATTCCGTAATCGGTTAATGCGGCTATGACGGCTCCATGTGATTGCTGAAGAGAAAAAAGAGATTCTTTTGAAAACAATTTAGAGGTTAACTAGTGTCTTATTCATGGGCCGCTTCAATCGCCAAACTTACAACCGTTTCGCTCTAGAAAAAAGTCGATTGAAGAAATCGGTTCATGAGCATCTAGGGAGGGATGCCTTTGAAAACTCATTTTTGATAGCCCCACCGCAAACTGATGATTTTGACAGTTTCACCCGGTGCTTGTTATATCGCGCCCCCAAACCCACATTTTATTTCCAACCAATTGATGTAAGCTACTTCATATTTCACCTCAATTTCACCGAAATGGCAAACGCCAAATTTGATGTTCAGCGTCCATACGCTTCGATTCTTCACATAAAATATATTTCTTTAAAGCGTAAGTCAGATACTGAGTACATCAGATACTCCATCTAAATCCCTTTCTCATAAGGATATTCATCGCTTACACTGATATATAGAGAGAAAGAAATTAAGGGCGTCTCCGCCAGTCATTCAGTTCACATCCTGTCATCTGTCACATTCCTAAAAGTTCAGCCAACTTCTATAATGGCTAGAACTGTCATCTCATATTACACACAGTTCGCGCGTTCGGTATCCCCTTTCAGGAACAGGTTGAGCAAGTATCGCGTATGTTGTTTAGCGCAATCCTGATGTGAAAAAAAGAACAGAAGAAAACATGCCGTTACAAGTTGTGGTTCTTTGAATATTTTCGCCGCTGCTTGACAGTAAAGCGATCCATTGGTTAGACCGGTGAGAATGGCAATGTCAAGTTGCAAATGGCCCTAAAAACACATAGAATCAATGAATATATATCATCAAGTTTTTGGAGCACCCATGCCTCTCATTCTACATGGTATTTGTTTTTGACTGGGAGTATCGCATATCAACCTAAAAGAAAGGCTCTTTCTAAAGTTATGGGAGTTAAAAGGATTAAGTAACTATTTCCCCAATTCATCTGAAGATTCTCCCCCTGGACCACTACCTTGAGCCTGAGTTTGTGTAATGGGTATCGATGGGTATGGAGGGTATAGATGTAATGGGTATAGAAGTACACCATGGATATAGATGGTTAACGAAAGTAATTCAAAGGTGAAATTTCGTGTTAACTGACCGTAGAATGCTGCTCACGAGTAGTAAATACATGATACAGTAGAAAGACTCGAGAAAAGCGTAACAAGTAACATACACGCTCGTCACGGAATGCACCACGTCGGAGCTTGTCTGGTATGTCCTTTTCTTGCTCATACACACGTAAGATGAGCCAACGAATCGACGCGGCGAGTTTACCCTGAAATGCTTATTTTTTAGTTGGTTTCGCTGAGCTTCTGATTGCTTCTTCGACTTTCTTTTCGATTGACCAGTACCACACACACAACGCTCTTATTCCGACGAAGCCATCTCTGCTGCCAGTGCGTCGGCGGCGATAATCGCCCTTGAGATTACGAGCCGATAGCCAACAGCTCATGTCAACTATGCGCCACAAACATGTTTATCACCGTTTTCACGAATCTATCAACAAGCGCACCAAAAACGGGTGCTTCTCTTACACAACGAGAACGTGCATTTTGCATGGATGTGGAGATACCTATCTACCACTAATCCCGTAGGGAATCAATTTGGAAGGGAACGTCGGAGCTACTATAGTCCGAGACAAGCAATTTGATCTTCTCATTCTAGAACGATTTCCTTAAACATACGATAGATTTTTTAGAAAATATTTTCGAAAGCTTGTCACATGTTCAATATCAAACTCAAAGTAAAAAGGAAATAAAGGGAACACAACATGAAACTAGCCTTTACAAAAAAAAAACTGGCGTTGATGGACAAGAGTGGTAAGCGGCGCTCAACGATAAGCCTACTTAATCCCTAAACTTCTGTGACAATAAACTGGCGCCAAAATCAGGAGCTTTAACAATATTTTTGTTTATTAATAATGAGTAACGTATATTATGAGCATAGTGCACGTCACCATTTCAAATCTTCCGCCGCTTATCATGTAACAAATCTAGCATCGGATGAATAAATATCGAGGTCGCCCTATTCAATTTGATTACTGGAAAGAGACCAAGTAGTAGTCTTTAATGATATTAGACAATAAATAATGGGCAATCAATTGTTTTCAAATAGAGTAGCAATTTTTTGCTGCATAACTCAAAACCATTTACGGGGAGAAATTAAAACCTTGTTGAAAAAAAACGTGTCTGATTTCAGGCTGCTGTACCTTGGAACAGCCACAATGCAGCAAAACACTGATCAGAACACTACTTATCAGTTGGACACTTGCCAAACTTTATTGAAATCTGACCAGTAAAAAAAACGTAAGATTTGTACAGATGTCTGATCAGAAAATTTATCAAACCACTAGCAGACGCCAAGCTACTATAGCAACCATGATGCTCTGTCCAGCAATCACAGATCGATACTCATACTCCTGTGTTATTTCGTAAAGAAGTGACCAATTAAATTGCAAAATTTTGGGGAATTGACATACATTCACCGGGAACCAATTGTTTACCGAAGGATTTGCTTGTCACTGGTTGTAGCGCCCTCCCCGTCATCGCTGATGCGAGGGGACGAGTCCTCATGTTTTCCAAAGTCTTAAATAAAGGAGCCGCAATTCAATATGCAGCATAACAATGCTCAAGTGCTCCTTAGGCGGAGGAAATCGCTGTGTGGCGAGGGGAATGCTCAATAGTTGTCTGCCAATAATTGCCTTTCACCACAAGCGCATCCGGTCCAGTTGTTGAAACCTTGAATACCACCAACGCGGCCGAGCAACCAACTACTTACTTCACAGCGACGTAGAACTACCACAAAAACTCATAAGAAGATGATAATATGATTCATCGGGCCAAGAAAAACTTATCGGCCCCACGTATTCCCTCCGAAAGCGCCAGCAATTTAGCCGACATATTGGCTTTCAGTTTTGGCCTTTCACATCTCATCCGCAATGCAAGTGCGCATGAATGTCCGAACGCCATTGAAAGCTCAACAACATTAGGCAGAAAAAAAAAACAAGTTCAACCAGAAAAAAATTCGGATTTTCTAAACAAAAACGAGGCAAAGCCTATCCTACCTCCGTTTCCACATAGTGATCAAGTGGAGTCAATGGTGGGAGGACACTTTCTTCCATAGTGTTTTAGGGCGGATGGTCAGCACATCTGAAAGTAACAGGGGAGTTGTCCGAATCAAGGAAATTCGGTAGCAGTCAATTGCAGAAACACGAAAGGAATGGCATGAAAAAACAATGAACTGCAACGCCCTTCAAAAAACCGCAGAACATTAATGATGGAGAGGAAATCAATAGAAACCCATGTGGATCATCCAGCTGAAAGCGATTGTGATCTGGCCGACGACGGTTACGAAGTGAAATTTCTGCGGCCGATCACGACCGAGAGGACGAAGCCTGGGTTACCAACCAAAAATGGCCCAAAATTAGATTAACAGCGTTGCACAAAGTGCATGAAGACTAGAATATCCGTGCGGGGCAAAAGAATTCGAAGGGGGGGGGGGCTGATCGAGGATAAACGTCCGACCATCCCAGCCGTGCCTTCGGGGGTCAAGCGAACCGCGACGCGACGCGTGGCGCGTGCTCCCGTCCACGCCCTCTTTCGTGGCGTTTCAGCGGCCTCTTTCTTCACTAGGGGGCCATTGAAGCATTCGCCGGGTTACGGGGAGAGCCGACTCAAAATTGTGGCTTAATGAGGGCAGAGAACTGGCTGTAGCCGTACAGTGTTTAGTGGCTGCAATGTGCATGGAAACGGCTGTTATTGAAACGGGAAATTTCGCAAGAGTGCAGTGACACTGCGTGTTCGAGGAGAGGCATTTTTATCAGTTGACCGAGAAATGACTCACAGTTTATTCCATATCGTTGCTGTTCCTAACTGTTCTGCACCACACTTCTTCTATACCTGCATGTTTTTTTTACCCGAATCGAGAATTTGACCTTATTAATACCAGTGAAGTTCCAGATTACTGGTAAGTTCCCAATCGTGTCAAAGCAGGATAGCTCCCTAATTATTAGCCAATCCTTGATTTCACAAAGTAAATTCGCTCCATTTCCTATTTGATAACAGAAAGCTCAAGTGATAAGCTTGGCGGGACTGTTGTAGTCCCGCCAAGCTTATCACTTGAGCTTTCTGTTGTTGGGACTGTTGTTTTTCTCTTATACAGTGTGTATATGGGTTCCCAAAGTGTATATCCGAGGATCACATGGATAACTTTAGAGGAACTCTTTAAATACTATACAAAAGTAGGACGCACATGCTTCCTACACAAATTTTTCCGAGTTAGTGCTTGTTGGTATTTTTAAGACAAACAGTCGTTACTGTTTGGATCACGACGTGACGTGACATCATGGCATGTTCGAACTACTTCTGAAGAACAGCTTTTCTCGCTTTACTGGAATAAATCAGAAGGCCAGTCATTCAGTTTAAAGAATGGTGTGCAGCAGCTGGGGTCAAGTGGATAGTATGAAGAACGCAGGCCGTTGTGTAGGGTCACCATGGAGCTGGATTGTAGTGAGTGGGAAAAAAGCCACGATAATGAGGATGAAAAGAAAGCGGCCAACAGTGCACGACAAATATCGGAGACCCTCAGGCCAGGACAGTGGTGGTAATAGCGATCGATTCAGCCACCATTATTCTTGGAGTTGGAGGTGTGGTCGTAGGGCAGTATACCTTGCTCCTTTCCGAAAAAGTTTCGATTGGTCGTCGAATTGGATGTGCTCGCTTCTGCGAGCGTTGATTAATCGATTTTGCAAGAAACTCTAATAGCCTAACTTTTCTGGTTCTGTACGACCTCAAATATTAGATCGAAAACTTCTTGATGAGGCCATCTATGAAAAATTGAAAGGTCGTCCAGTGATCACTCTAAAATACTCGTATTTTCGTGGGTGACAGACTCAGATAGGGATGTATAAGGAAAACGAAGAAGATGAGTGCCAATGCATCGCTTGAGCTTATCAAAGCGGTAGAGATTAGCGTACGCACGAGCGATATATCTCGCCCTTCACTTCACGGTTCACGACTATTGATTATACTGCACGGTTTAATTAACATCATCACCTGCCGTTTTTGATAACCCTATGGGCATTCAAATGAAAGTACAAATCGCCAAAAAAAATTCCAATGCCATAAAAATATTTATTCAGTTGCACGACTATTCACCTAACTCGAGAGAGGGACTACGGAAGAGCAATTTATTTTGATACTTGTCTATACACAACTATAATGAATGACCAGCCCTTCTATCGTGTCATGGTTGGAACTACTTGTACGAAAATATGATTATTTTGAAGATTATCAGTATCAATCAGATTATTCCATTATACACCCTTTTTCATGAACATGAACAGGATCAGTAAATGCTACCAGTAAGATATCCTGCCACTGGGAATGATGAATGGGCTCTCATGCTCGTCAAAGTTCCCGATTATAGCGATCATTAAACGCTTGAGAGTCGCCATTGCGTTATCCTCTGTAAAATCCCGGAATTGTTAGAATTCTGAATCCGTAAATAATGCTTTTTTCTAGTTGGAACAATTCTGGGTGAACTGTAAAATAATGAAATGAAGCACATGGGAATGACGAGAAAATGCAAAAATCTTTTAATTTGAAAAAATATAGAAGTTAAGAACGTAAATTTGTGTACAAATACACAACGTCTTTTGGCAAGAACCGAAATCATCAATGAGATGTTCGAACATGTTAGGAAACCTCAGAGAAAGGGAAAGCGTGGGATTGAGTGTTGGGGAAATGGATGTGGCGGAGGTCGTACATAGTTAGTGTCTCCGAAATGGCAGACAGGTTCACAATGGTTTATTCAGAACGCGTTTGACTGACCTGAATTCATGTGGGGTAGTGGGAGTGGTGAATTAGTAATGAAGAGTTCCGGAAGACGCTACCCCACCCAATTGGTCACACAGACACACATCAGACGAGAAGAATTAAGGGGTTTTGTAAATGGAACTGTTCAAATGAACTCATGGAGAGAAACTGCTGGAGAAGTTCTGCCAGAGCCAATAAAAAACAGTCATAGAGTGAGGTTTCAAGCATTTAGTGGGGGAATGCTGTTCCTTGCTCTTTTTGGTTTGTCCACTTCTTTTTTTTCGGAAAATTTTAATCTAAGCGAAAAAAAACCGGGTTCCGAGAGTTCACCGAACTATACAGTGTTCAACTTACCTACTTGATACTACTACGTACTATCAGACTACTTTAGCACAAGTTCATTAAAGCCCAACGGCTCTCATTCTAGACTAGGAAACCATGATTATGAAATGACAACCATATGCTGAGCTTCGGTGAGAGCTTAAAAAACATCAGATCGGCATTCAAAAACGCAAAAAATAAAATAATATTAGAAAATTTATGTTGGAATAAGCATGCAGGTGAAATTGAGTAGAACACAGAAAGGGTCATGACCTGTAACCACAAGCTGAACAATTCTCAGAATTATGCGAAAATTCACTATTTTCGGAATAAGAAATCTCAATTACGGCTCTTGTAAGCAAAAACGGAGCTCTCCAAAAGCACAGATGTCACAATAATATTGACTTTTGGTTAACAATGCGATAGCCGCTGAATACCCCAAAAACAACCTGAATAGAATGAACTGCGTAATCGGTCAGCAGCTGCCAGTCAGAATTCATCATCTCGGCGGCACTACACAGAGCTACTCTCACATCGGTCCTAAACCAGTTAGGGTAACTTTGAACGACACATGCAAACCTACCAACTTTTTCATATATGACCAAAAGTTTGGTCAAAACATTGGTTACTATAGATTATTAGGAACATTAATTCGGTAAATAATGTGATAAATTCATAGATAAATATGTGTAAATGAAAGCGATAGGAAACATTACAAGGTAAGCGCATAGAATAAGACAGTAGATAGTAGATCGTGAGCATCTCAGCTGACACTGAATTACAAATTCAAATATATGAATAGACGTGAAGACGAGTGAATAGTTGTTGAGTGGGGGTGAGCTCGCTCCCCGTTTTCATTGAGCTTGGCCCGTCGGGCGCCCATTTGACCCCTTTGCTAACATAGACCGTTCAGGAGCTACTTCCCATTTCAACGAAACTAACTACATGCTGTGGAATATTGGGGCATACACATTTGTTAATTTGTTCGGATGCTCAAGCACTTGCTCTCCACCCCTCATGATCATAAGTCATAAGAGCAGATTAGAATTATTGGGTTATGGAGTGATGGGTCATAGGATAAACAAGAAGAAGTGAGGTAAAACGGGAGGATTTTTGGGGAACGGATCCAGAATGGGCAGAAATGGAGTGAGTTGAATTTGAATAAGGTTAAATGTTACTTTATTCGTTGTATGAATTACTGCACAAAAAGATAAGTCCAGGAAACGACAGCAAACTTGACGATCCAATTTTGACCGGCCCTCGTCCAAAAGTGTACGGAATTGATTCGAGCGTGGTCTGGCACTCGCGATGTCTTCCCCTTTTCTACGACATGAGAAAACTATCGTCAATATGACAGGCTTCATGAGCCGGAGAGGTACTCTTTCTCAAAAATATATCATTGTCCATTCTGAGCAAGAGTTTCCAAAAGGTGTGTGTATAATCGAGGACGAAAGATATTTCTACCAACAATCCCTCCGACACTCAACAAATCATTCGGTTAATGTTGCTATATGCTTTTCAAAGTGTTTTAATCTGTGATATCAAATGATCTGATTGTTTGACCAAGTCATCAGCCAGTTAGCCAGTCCAAATCACTTGCGCAGATGGCGGCCTGACGTTGACGTGTGTGTTTTGTGAACGTGTGTCAGAGAGTGCCCCCTAACACTGTTTGGTTTCACAACGAGGAGGAAAAGCAGAGGAGAAGAAGAGCGGCTGGATTTCGCGAAGAGAGCAATGACAACCGGGGGAGAGGGAACGACGACGTTGACGGCTGACCATCAAACTTGTGATTTTGATCTGTCACGAAGACCTCACACGAACATAATGTGTAGCCCGTTTAGGACAAGGAAGTCAGACCAGGTACGAAATGAGCGACAAGCGGTATAAAAAACGGGCTCGGGAAAGAATTCATTCATGTTTGCTAACGAGCTCAATTACAAAGAATTGTAACTGTCGGAAGCTCATCAGTGCCAGGTACTTCATTCATGTCAGTTGGATTGTCAATGTGATTAATGACTGCCGGAAGTGATTTTCCCCTGTTCAATATTTCGTGCAGAAATTCATCTGGGGGGTAGCAAACTCTGTGGAGCTCACCTTAACTCGATCTAGATACGTGCGCTATTCCACTGAGAAGCCTATGTTATTGTTATGCTTAGTGAAGTTCGCCTTCTGTAAAGACAAGAGGAATAGTCTCACAGGATATTACCTAAGAGGGTAAGAGGTGACCATGAATCAAGATCGATGGATAAATTCGAGCTTCTGATCATCGTGCTAACAAAATCATAGTACCGTATCAGCCAATGAGAATCATAAAATTGAAAATCATAAATGCGTAAATTTCATTCTTCTGGCAGCCTTGCTCAACCTATTCAATCCTACAAAGGTTGGCGGTCCTCAATTAATTTACCTGATATGAATCCTACTACAAAAGTGACCTAGAACGACTGCCTAATTTTATACTAGCCGGTTACTTGTACACTACTCGATAGTAAAAACTGTTTTTCAATGCAATTTAACAAATACTTCGCTTAGGTGAGCAAGGTCAGAGTGTCATGAGCTCTTCGTAGCTGACATCAGGAAGCTGTTTTAGTTTCACTGAAAGTGTACCCCCTCCCCTCCTCTGCTGCGCTTCTTGCCACCACTTAACAGATTTGATTCCATTTGAGCGGTCGGTCGTACGCCTAGTGGTTGCGTGAGCAGAATACGACTTCACCTGTGCGCCAATGAGCAGGATCATCCGGTTCACTTATGAGCCTTATCACTGCTATTCACCTCACTGAGTGGACTTTGTTTGCTTATTTCACTCACGTACTTTTTCCTCGTTCACCTCGCGACTATTTACACTTCCGGTCAGTACGGGTCGCGCGCGAGTCGGTCGGCGCCCCCTGATAGCCACGGCTCGGCCACAATGGCTCAACACCGAACTGTCGCCGTTCCCGTAGTGTCGGCAGAGCCCCTAGCCTGTGATGGGGCCACACCCTTGGACACACATCCGCATACTGACCTGCCAACGTCCACACCTGAACGTCAAACCCTGTGACATTCATCCGCTTAGATCTGGCCAACGTTTCCTTTCTGTTTCTTCGCAGATCACAACTCGTTACTCTTCCGATTGAATAATTTCTGAAAATTTCAGTATCACAAACGTTAAATTGACTCCGAAGTTAATGTAAGAGTGACCCGCTTCACTGTTATCCACTGCTCCTTGGATAACAATATTGGATAACATTTGGAGGAATCTATTTCCTTTCTCATTTTCAAGCTCTAACTCCGTTTTTCAGGGTCACTGAGAACTTGTCAAGCTGAGGGTATGAGGGTTGAAGTCTGTAAATCCAGACTAGTCTGGAGACGATACCATCACTAAGTTGTTGGTATCTGCCTTACATCTATACTAATTTGAAAACCAGCGGACTTTTAAACGACTTTTCATTTGACCTACTCGTAATTTTCTACTGCATTTCCCTCGATACAGCTTGAATACATAGGATATCGGGCATTGCCAGGGCGAGCAGCGAATTCCCTATCCCTTCTGATTTTCGAGCTGATGGTTGAATAGCGGCATTGTGTTCTCGGTGATATCTCATTCGAACTTTGTGATTAATTCGGTTTTGTTTTATCCCAGCAACCTTATGGCAACAAGCGCTTTATTCTATTTCCTACCGCTCCTCCACCTTATCCATAATCTTTACTCAACTACCGTTCATGTTTATTTGTTTACGATTCCGGTTCGTACATTGTACGTTCTCCTATATTGAATGTAACGCATATAAGGCGAAAAGGATGTTGTAGTTTTATTCTCAGCACAAGGAGCCACAATGGGAATCTTACCAATTATATTGCTGGTACATCTGACAGCTTGCCAGGTTGGTAGTTACGCAGTCTTTCTGAACATAAAATCAAGGCTTCATTTTAATTTTTTTTGCCTCTAATTTCAAAAATATACAAAGCATGAGTCGTACAGATAGTAGTACCCTTTTCCATGAATCAATCGTGGAATTCATATTCAGCTCTACCAACAACAGCCTCGCATACAGTCACGAGCCATGATGTATCCAGTGAGGACGAATTGCCAATATGTATGGTGTACCCAGAATCGCTACCGATGGAACTATCGGCCTACAGGTAGAAAAGCCTGTTCATGTTGATCTGCCCCCTAACACAGCTCCTTTAGCCATGCATTTGGCCTATTATAAGACCCTGGCCTGCGGCTTCAATGCATTGGTCTAAACCTTCTCTAGCAGTCTTGGCTGATTTTATTGTTCGACTTACGGTTTCGGATACGCTCGGACCAATGATTTTCGGTACTTCCACTGCAAGAGCGTACCAGCTGCCCATGGATTTCCCAGAAAAGGTGAAGAACTGCCAGAACCGATAGATATGGTAGTATTACGATGCTTCCCCAGCTCATAACGAACTTATCGTTCACGTGTGTGTTTTTAGAAATTTCAAAGTGATTCTGTAAATGTTCTCCTTCACCTCATAGGAGCCCCCAAAAAGAGATATTTGCTCCTAAAATCCCAACTGCTACAGCTACCATGAAAGGGTGCAATGCCTGGTTTGGTGAATACCTAACTTCTCCTTTTGCGTTAGTGCGTAGACAAGGTGCATTTGATCGAGAAGAATTTTTCCCTTTCTTCTTCTGCGTAGATACAAAAATATTTGTCGATTTAACAGTATCACTTGTAACGAGCGGATTTCTTAGGCTTGGCTCGACCGCTAGTGGGTGTGGTACCTCCTGTGTCACTAGTAATTCCGCCATTACCACCTAATCTACCCACAACCGCGTTTCCGAGATCGTTCACCTTCACAACGGTTCGTCTTTTTCATAGATAGTATATTGAAGGGCAACATTTAATTACTTGGTATGTGATAGGACTGATATTGCATTTTCATGCCTCTCTACCAACACCTCCTCCCGAAATCAGCACCCACACAACGGAGTTACCAACACCTCCTCCTGAAGCGGTAACTCCTGATATCTCGTCCACTACACGATTCCTGCGTCCTGAACGGAAGCAGACGAATAGAACAAGTTCATTCATTTTTGTAATTTCATTCTATTCAAGACCTGCTTATGAGAAAGTTTGGTTTAGAGTTCTTTAATCCTTGTCCATCCGGACGTCCACTGATGAACGAGTACGAAACTCCGATCACTTGCAACTATCTGAACCGACCGAATGGGGGCTGCCCAGAAGACTATTGGTGTCACACAGGAGCAAGCTTCTCCACTACATCTTGCTGTCCTCGCACTGATTCCGGTCAGTTGTGTACACTTCTAACAACAAATCCCCGCCAAATACTCCGTGCATTCCTGCTTGCTTTCCATTTATCAATTGTTTAACTTTTCGGTTGTGGGAGGGAGAAGTAAAAGAGTAAATCATACATTTCATTCAAGCCACTTATATTTACAAGTTTAAAGGGCAAAGGATCAACAAGCTGCGGCTGTGGTCGTTGTTTGCCTATCTTTCAGAGGGTCTTCTTTCAGAAGATCAATGCGCGATGCGCCGAGATACTGGCGAAGGCAATGAACTTGTGGCCAGATGGTACTACGACAAAAACGCTAAGCAGTGTCGCCGGTCAGTTGTTCAAATCGGGATTTTCAACGATTTTCGTTTACAGTAGTGATCATCAAATGTTAAGGTTCCTCTACAAGGGTCTACGAGGTAATATGAATAATTTTGTGACGAAAACCCAATGTGTGGACGCGTGCGAGACAGGTTAGTTTACTCAAAGCGTTCGCGTTCGGGTACGATACGACTGAGCTGTGGAACTGCTAGCCGTTTCCGGTACGGCCAGCAATGACACGAAAACCTCGGACGAGACGTCACATCGTGACGTGCAGGGTTTTGTGTGCCTGTGTGGCCTGCAGAAAAACTCCACGAAAACAGGCAAACTCCATTTACTGGATTGAATTCTTGAGTGACAGAAGGGCTTAAAGTTATTTGGGTTCTCAGAAAAAGTTCTGCTACAATGTGTTTACTGTTCCGCTGTTCAATGAAAAGAATGTTATTCGGCACTGGGCTTTTGACGATTTATGTTGTCCTTTTTTGGGATAGTGCTGCTCCTTGGGGTGAGCTAACATAATAACCTGTAAGCAAATATGTACTTGTATTGCAATTGTTGTGTCCATTTCTGTACCACATTCCATATCCCTAGTCATAGAATTTGTTTGTAAACATAAGAGTAGTAGATAGGGTCAGAAATACTATGAAAAGGGTGGGTGTGTTAGGAACGAAATGGTCGCGTCGCGGTGAGAGGGGCGTCGCGCGCGAAGGAATGTAGCAGGATGCAGCAGTAGGTAAGAAATACAAGAAGAAAAAAATAATGACAGCCGCGTGCGGCTAATCGATTACCCAAATCGTTCCTAACGCCTGTCCCCCCTATAATAAGGCTTCCACTAAGACGATAAGCCAAAGATTGCAGAGCTATCCTCAAATTTTAACTACATACGGAGAGGCGTTTACGAATTCACGGTTCTTTGATGCCAACTTTCAGTTGCCCCTGTCGACAATACCAATCCATGCCGTTTTGGAAGCCCGGCCAGACATACAAATCAGTCGAAAGTATTATGTGGTCCGAACGATGCAACCTCATGTCCTGCAAACTACTACTGCCATCTTGGCGAGGATCCACTGACTACCGTGTGTTGCGAGTCAAGTGGAGGTGAGCCTCTCCAACTAGGCCTCTCTTTTAATTACAATAATAATTATAATAATAGTAAAGGAAAGTCAAAATCTTTTGACAATGAGTCGGATGGCTATTTTGAAAAGGAAAGGCTCTCGCCGTCAATCAATTTCAACATCCTCGCCAGTGATTGAAGGGGTTCAAAGGATTTGCGATAAAATTTCAAGTTGGCTCAAGTTGCATCAAATAGTCGATGCTTGCTGCTTTAATATCTCTCAGCTAAACGGGGATGGATACGCCGTGCATCGCAGCAGCCCCGTGAAATTGATCGTTTTTGTATCATTATGTAAGATTACAATTAAAGGGTAGTTTATAAAAGGTAGCTGATTCTCTCTTTTCCCTTCTCATACTGATTCCTGTTTTACAGTGACTGATCCATGTCTCTTAACTTTGAACGTTGGACAAGGAAAGGCTATGCTGAAAAGGTAATTGTTTATTTTATTTACTGTTGTTTTACGCAGACCAATATTGCTGAACAAGATCATTAATATTTCTATCTCCTTCAAGATACTACTACAACACATTTTCAAAACACTGCGTTGAGTTTGTGTATCGCGGAACGAAAGGAAACGAAAACAACTTTTTGAGCAAAAAACAGTGCCAGGATACTTGCCAGAGTAGGTTTTCCTTTCAGAACCTCATTTATTTGTTGAATTCGAATTTTTTCCAAAGTTTGAATGTTGACGAAGCCACGTTTATGCTTTGCACTACACTTCGCTTTGTGGCGGGATTACCGCGGCGAGGCTGCGTGACTTCTGATGTACAGGAGCAAATTCTAACCGCTCAAAGTAAAAAAAAAAGCAAAAATCCGACTTAACGTTTTGTATCGAGGCTATGCCGATAAAATGAAATAGCAGAACAGGGTCCAGCGTAGAAGTCTGCATTTCTCGTCATTCTTGACAGGGAAAAAAAAATATTTTGAATGATATATCTAAGAAACATTTGGGTAATCGTTGAATCTCAAATCAAAATACCGGACAAAGAAAGAAGTGCCTTTTCCGAAAAAACAGTGAAGCTGTAGAGTCATGAAGCCCTTCCGTGAACGTAATCCCTATTTTCTTTAGGTAAAACATCCTCAAACTAATAAAGCTCTATTTTTCATAGTATAATTCCAGAATGGAGTAATCCGTGTCCAACTGAAATTAACTTTGAATCGAAAAAAGAATGTTCTCTGAATGGTACCGAATGTAGCGCCGACGAATGGTGCCATATTGGGTCATCACAAACGACAACAGTCTGTTGTCCAGGAGGTATTCATTGAATTTAAGTAAAACGTCAAACAAGTAATCAGTAATCATATGCGATGTGACTCATGCACCCCGGAAACCTCATTGATATAGCTATTTAGTAGCCTTGAATGTTCAAGCAAACTTTTTGCATATTGCTCTTCTTCTAAAAACGAGTTCTCAGCTGACCACTTGAGTCTGACTCACCCTTAAACTCAGTCCTATAAATCCTATAAACTATCAGTTGTAGAGAATCAAAGTATAACTTGTACTTCTTCTACTATAGCCAGTTACTTCGTTGAATCGTTTGAACTGCTCGGTTTAGCCTCGGCGGATCCGTGCTCCCAGCCGTTCGAGCTTGGTGAAGGCAGTATGGAGCTGCCTCGTTGGTACGCTGACCCACACGACCAGTCCTGCACAAGACAGTGCAAGCCCTTCCTGTACAAAGGCGCCAAAGGAAATCAGAACAACTTCCTCACAAAAATGCTTTGTGAGAGGAAATGCAAACGTTAGTTAGCCATCCTGTCTTATTGCCAGCTGTTTTATGGCTTTCACTTCTCGTTGCTGTTAGTTCATAGGAAGTAGGTGCTTCTGCGTGAATAGAAAACTGGGTAATTCACATTTCCTTTCCATCAAGATAGTAGAAGAGGGGTGTGGCGCAGTAGGATCGAAATTGTCGCTTCGCGGCGAGAGAAACGCCGCGCGCGAAGGAGTGTAACAGAGTGCAGGCGAAACGAGTATAGCCACCTGAACTGGCCCCAGCAAAATGGCTAACACCGAGGCATTTTTGTTTCTGCCCAGTTTAGGTGAATGCAAATCCCCATGCGGTACCGGAATAATGCTCCTCACACCGGCGAAAGAACCTCGACTGTGTAGCCCGACTTCCCCGTGCCCTCAGTCGCATTGGTGTCACGTTGGACTTACGCCAGAGACAACCGTCTGCTGTTCGACCGGTTCGAAGTCCATTTTCTAAATTGTATGGCTCGGGCCAAAATATTTACTTCAGTGCCTAACACTTGTGAATTGCCATTGATGAAAGGTGTTGGAAGTTCGCATTTGACTCGTTGGCATTTTGACAGCAACAAAAAGAAGTGCGTCAAGTTCATCTACAGTGGTGAAGGAGGAAACCAGGTAAGTACGGTTTATTATTTATGAGATGGTATTCAGCTGAACAGATGAGTGGTATCAATGGTTACCGGTATAATTTATAATGACTAATTTTATTTTTTCGAGGAGATGCCTATGAAATATTATTACTAGCGATAATTTTGTCAAACAACGTAGCCGCCCTCTCATATTCTGACAAGTCGGCTTTCCTGTCACACTTCAATTATCGCTTTCTCGCAGTGGAATCGATTTCTTTCCTCGAAAACGTTTTCCTCTCCTTCTCCATGAATGTAACATTCATCTGTGACGTTGGGCCATCATTTATGCCCCTCCAATCGCAGAGTCAGTATGAGGACAAAGACCACACCCACCTTTGGTAGAATGACATGAATACGTAAATCTAATCTGAAGGTTTCAGAATATGTTTCTCACACAAGATGACTGTCAAGCTATCTGTCCGGTATACGAGAACCCATGCGGCACCGGTAAACCTCTACTGATAGGCAGTGTGCCAAAAATTTGCAGTCCTGCCCAACGATGTCCTTCTACACACTTTTGCCACATCGGAGTAGATGGCTCGGATAACTATTGTTGCCCCAAAAGTGAGATTCCTTCAGTGTACTATGCAGCATGAATGGCCATCTAATTTGTTTCCAGACGGTGATCCATGTGCCCAAGAGTTAGCTGTCGGGGAAGGAATGTTCGCTCTGACCAGGTACATAACACAACCTCATCAATTTTGCCTTCGTTCACTAGAAATTAAATCCTTTTGCACGCTTATACGTGGAACCGTCAAGTTTTAAACTTGAGTGGTGCATTTCATCGAAATGGCAGCACAGCGATGTTGGAAATCTCTACATCCATTGATTGTAGGTACTACTATGACAAGGAAACTCGTAGATGTCGAGAGTTCGTCTATCAGGGTACGAAAGGGAATGCCAACAACTTCCTCAGCCTCGAAGACTGTGAACTCGTTTGCCCAGGTGAATTCTACAGGAAACTCATTACCGTACAAAGACTGACACACAGAATTTACTAAATCCTTGTTGAGCCCTGGTTAGGGTTTTCCTTACAATCTGGGTGCTAATCTCGAAGGAAGCCCGTCCTTACATTGGCCTTCAGTATAGAAATAAGATGGCCTCCCAGACGGTATCTTATACCCCTCCCCCTCCCCCTTTAATTCGGAGGTTTATGTTCGGGATGAGAAGCAGTTGAGAAGGATATGTCCAAAGATACATTCGAGTATCAGTGCAAATTGATGTTGAGCCATGGGCGGGAACTGTGAACAAGCTGGTAACTTACAAACCGCGTAGCACTAGCTATACCTTGACTTCTGAAGCGGTTATGGTTTGAGGTTCTTGTCGGATCTGTTGCCTAGTTTCCACATTAGAAGCAGAAAACAGACTAACTAGCAAACCGGAACTTGACTAGCTCACAGTTGTTGTTATACGAGCTAACTTTTTTTTTCAAGTGCTGCCCAACCCATGCAAACTTGGTGAGCCACTAATGAACGCACTAAAAGAGCCGATTATTTGTGGTGGAGAAGACTCGTGTATTAATGGATATTGGTGCCATGTGGGTGGAAGCCCCGAAACTACGAATTGCTGTCCGGGAAGTTAGTTTTTTTTTGAAAATGTTCCTGACCCTTTGCAATTGAATAGTGAGATTATACTTACTCAGCTCGTCGACCATGTGACCTGCCATTGGAAACCGGCCAGGGGTCCGAAAGTCTGGAGCGATGGTTCTACGATGGTGGCATTCAGGTAAGTGGAGATTGTGAGGATCGTGGAGAGAGATTGAAGGGACTGGAATCATGGAAATGAGAGAAACAGGGCAACCATTTCAATGGTAAAGCTTGATGGCAATGTCAAAATCTTCAAGTCTTGAAATTTAACTCGGAAATGGTGATTCCGAAAAAAGAAGCATTCGGAAAAAGGGGATGACGCCCGGTGTTGTAGATAAGGAACAACGTTATCACTACTCATTCACTACCTTCAGTAATTCATATGTGATTTCAGATGTGTCGAACATTCACCTATAAAGGAATGAAAGGCAACGCAAACAATTTCCTCACCAAACAGGCGTGCAGGCAAGCATGCAAAGGTGCGGATCACTTCTTTTTGTCACTTCTTTGGTAACTTCTCACATTCTCAGCTAGTAATACAGTTGCAGTAGCCGGCCGTTCATTAGTTCCCTTTCGATTCACTTTTCTTTTCAGGTTAAGCCCACCTTATTCTTCTTTTCTTCATTACTTTATAGGATAATGCTGAATAAAGTGATCTTGATTTCAAACACCATCAGCCTGAGCTCAACAACTTTCAAATGGTTTTCAGAGCTCAATCCCTGTGGTTTTGGTGAGCCTTTGATTGGCACCGATGACGAACGGGTACTTTGCACAGGAGGACAAAAGGTGGACAGTTGCCCACGTGGGCACTATTGCCACGTTGGTGCCAGTGCACTCACAACCGTCTGTTGTCCGAAAAAAAGTGAGCTCATTTCAGTATTGGGCTTCGATATTGAAATTACTCAGCTGTAAGAGTCCATCCTTTCCATACGTGCCATCTATCGATAGAGAAAGAGGATAACGTTTAGCCATGGCGGGTTGTCGAAAGCCTGCATAGAGTGCGTGGAGCCTTTGAAGAGCGCTTCACCATACTAACGACTTAGTGATTAATCTATTGTAACATACCTTTCGTTCCTGAAAATTTCCATGTGGATTGTTCCGAATTATTCGATTCGTAAATTCCGCCAGGAAAATGCTAAACTTTCCAGATATCGAATCGTGTGACCAACCAGTGGATCAAGGGACAGGCGGAGAGGACTTGCCGCGATGGTTCTTCGACAGAAAACAGAACAGGTAACTCTCTTCGCACTTATAGGGTGGAGCAAAAATCCTATCCTTCAGATGCGCTCCATTCAACTACGGGGGCATTGGTGGTAATGAGAACAACTTCATAAGTCAAACCACATGCAGCGAAGCATGTCCAGGTAGGGACACTTATGAATCTTGTTCCTATATAACCTAGTAAGTTTACTTCAGTATATCGTAACTATTGCCCACATGGAATCCCACTGGTCGAAGGCAATCAAGTCACACCATGCGGCATTGACAGAGGATGTCCCGAAGGTTTTATCTGTCACATGAGTACCGAATTCAATGTTTCAGTTTGTTGCCAGGTAAACGACCACTGCTTTAATGTACAAATACTCGTTTAAACCAGTGTTTTTGCGATGCGTGTTCACTCTTCCACAGCTCTTTGGCTACTTTCATAGTCCGCGATGTGGCGGGCGAGCGCGCGAGCGAGCGACCGGGGAAGAACTCGTCCGGCGGTATCGACCAATATTCAGTTATAAACAAGTGGCAAACGCCGCCCCCGGTCGCCTGCGGGCCAAGTCGTGGATAATGAAAGCAGCCTTTTCAAAACAATTGTCGATTCCTAATATTTGGAACCACAGCTGTCAGGCTAGCTTATTGCAGGATCCAGTTGACTTCTGCTCGGCACCTCGCGATCCTGGACCATGTACCAACTTCGAAACTCGTTACGGCTATAACCCATCTACGGACACATGTGTTGAGTATCAGTATGGAGGATGCGATGGCACACTTAACAACTTCCACTCCCTTCAAAGATGTACAGAAATCTGCTGTAAGGAGTATAGACGCAAGCTCTAAATCCGCTTAATTACTACCAGAACATTTCGCTGAGTTCTTCCAGCTACCTTGAGAGTGTCTATACCTGAGTCTACCTTTCTACTTTTTGCTTCTACTCTCACCTACTTACTTACCAGTGATATTTTTTAAAGCGTCATAGTTCCTCAAGATCGCAAACGTTGATCACTACTTGAATTGTTACACTTAATCAAATCTGAGACTCGTGCAAGCTGGATATGACGGGATGCACGATTCTTGGGATGTTCGAAATAGATAGATCTCTTCGTTTACGTGCGCTTTTGTTGAATTTTCAATGAATTTGGTATTATAATCAGTGTTCTGCATTGAACCCGTAAACAGCATGATCAAAGGATGCCCTTTTATTTCCATATGCAGCTATATAAAAATTCAGCATTAAACAACCCGTGTTTACCAGTAAACAAAATATTAGTGAGCAACCAGCAAGCAGTTTAACTAGCACCTAATTAAATAAAACTTCCCGCATAAATGAAATAGCAATCAAATCACGTTATGTTCCTTATGGATCACAGCAATTGCTTGATACCGACACATAAAGCACATTAAATTCAGTTTCACAACAACTTTGAAGAAAACGAGACCTTATGCCTACAGTTCTACTAGTAACTTTACAGTGTTGTTCGAGATTACTGACGATCAAGCCTGCAGCATAACGTAGGATTAAAAAGAGCCAAGTACGCGGACATCCAACTATATCAAAACGGATATAAAAATTAGGAAGATGGGACAGTATCCGTATACTATAAGTAGGTAAGAAAACCTCGATTCATCAGCACAACATGCTGCCAACGGATCAGACGCTAACTGGTTTTTCCGGCTTGACCTTCTCGTAGTGGTACTGCGACTTCAGACGTAGGACATCCATAGCGTTGCTAGTTCCATTAGTCGCCTTCCTTGAATAATCTGACTAAACACAATCGAAACGAAACAATAATCCCCTTAAAAACACTCACTTGAAAATAGCCTGGAACTCTTCCTTCGCGAATTCATAAAACTCTCTTTCTAGTTGATAGACCTCATTCTTTCGTATGATCGCTAACGTACGCTCAGTTGGAGGGAATTTCCGCTTTGTGTTTCGCAGGTGAGCTCGATTTGCTGTAATCGAAGACAAAATCAGTTCGCCACTGATTCTTCACAAAATTAGGCAGCTCATACATTGACCGCCTGAGAAAAAAAAATTGAAAAGCAGTCTCTGATGAAGGGCAAGCCCGAGGTAACTGTAACTCACCATCGAGTCCATCGAAATGTTCAAGTGCTCCTCTGAAAAAATGAGGCACAAGACGTTCCAGGAGAGCTATGAAGTCTCGTATCTGTTCACTTACACCAACCAATAAATACTTTTCGATTAGATTCTTCTTGGCCTGTTCCAGTGCAATCATACTTCCAGCGACACTGCAGAAAGAAAAATAAAAAAAAAAACGTAAACGAGAACAAGGGAGCAGCGATTTACTATGCATTCCTTGAACATTACCCGAAATATACTTGTGGGCTAGGGGATGGCGTGGGAGGGGGTCACGAGTGTTGTGCAATTATTCTGACTATTTTCACTGCAAAAGTGTTCGCGGTACTGTGCAGCTTTTAGTCATTCATCTTTTGCAGTAAAAAGCGCACGGTGCCCCCTCAAACAGCTAAGAAAAGCAGTGTTTGCTTCTTGAGCGATAACTTTTGTGGGCAATACAGAAAAATTACGCGCTCGCAGAATAATAAAAGTGTGCATTGCAACAAAATTTGGCCGTGAAGTGGTTTGCAGAGCACAGGAATGAACAATCAAAGTATTTACAAGCTCTCGGGGGGGAAAGATCGCAGGAAGAGCTCTGTGAAGTCCGCTAAGAATGTAGAAGCAACTAACCTGCAAAAATGATGATGCCCACAGAAGTAAGGGATTTGAAGCCACATCTGTTTCATGTCACAATCACGCCCACCACGTACCACACACTCATCGAATGTCTAAAGTTAGAATTAGGATCATTTAAGAAATCTCTCGTACCTTCTATGAGCTCTAAAATAGCGCATGAACCACCGCAAGCTCATGAACCTTGTTTAGAAAAAGCAAGCTGCGACATTAACTTCTGAGTCAATCGTCGAAATAAGTCAGGAGGAACAGAGAAGGAGAAATAGGCCAATGATTCTGAACACACCTCGTTATTTCCTGCTCTGCTTCTCCTCAGCCCGATACGATAATTATCACCATATCGAAGAAAATAGTAGTGAGACAAAAGACGCTCAAGCGGCTCTCGAACTATGTTGATATAGATAGGGTTCGGCTTCCCAAATCTTGAAACAACCGACGTGTTTATCGAAGTTTTACTCTGAAAACTGAAATAGAAAAAAGTAACTCGCCTTTCAAAGTCGATAAAGGCCACGTGACCATGGTAAAATGCGGGCAGTCGCTCTTTCCATGATGTTATGTTTTCAATAAATTCACTTTGATCTGTGAGGCTCATAATCTAAATCTAACATAATAGTAGAAGAAGCATATATTCACGAATGGTTCACATACTTGTCGGTTTTTCGTCATATTCAAATGCAGGACGTTGAAACCGTTCACCTTGAATAAGTCGTAAGCTACAGCATTAGTAAATGTTGTTGAACCGGTTTTCGGTACCTGAATGGACAAGAAAAGTTCTAGACTAAAACGAAAAAATGTATGACAGCCCTTACCCGGTTATAAAAAACTATGAGATTCGACCTTGGGTCCAACGAATAGACAGGAGGGATTCTTGACAAATCTTCCGATTGTTTTGCATTCATACGATTATTTATATAGAAAAATAACAATACTAAAGCACAGAGATTACCAAAGAGTAGCTGAATCCGGTTAGGTGACATCAAGCCAAAAATACATGAACGGTGAACGGGCACCTGAAATCAGAATATGCTTACTTCACGAGAATTCAAAGAAATTTCTAATCGCCACGAGCCACTTCCTTAATAATTAACTCGACGTCGTACGATTATTACGATTTTTGATTGTAAATGTAAATGTAAATTGTAATTATTTATTTAAACATGCTCAGATCTTCTATAAAGGACTATATTTGTATCTGCCACGATGGAGAAGTTGAGAACTCCACCACAACTACTACGAGCCTCATCAAAGGAGAAGAACTTAAACAACATAATCAGACAAACCCTACGTGTGAGCGGTGGTGTCGCGGTTTCGCGCTATAGCACGTTATTTCGGGGTGTCTTGGTACTGCGAGAAGACCTTGATGACAGAAGGTTTCCTCTTCCATAACTCTATTTATTGACGGTTGCGTAGCACGTTCGAAATCGTTATTCTAAGGTGATACTAATTGTAGGAAGTAACTTTCGACAATCATAAGCTGTTGAACTATCG